GTGTGTGAGGGAGTGTGTGTGAGGGAGTGTGTGTGAGGGAGAGTATGCTCTGCTCTGCACAATCATTATGAATAATATTGGAATCAGACAGCAAAGGGCCCAGTCCTGAGTGTAAACATCCTGCGTGTGAGAGACAGATACCCTCTGGATGCCCCCATCTCCTAGGAGCCTGCTGCCCTCAACCTGCCCTACACACATAAACAGTATGTCAAGATCGCTGCCTCAGCTCTGATGTTGATTGACAGATATACAGTATTTGCCAATATCACAGAGCAATATAATGTGGGAATATCACATCAATAACATACAGTATCAGATTCAACTGTACAGTACACACTAATAAATGAGGGTTCCTCAAGGGTTCTTTTGGGAAGAGTGATGGTTCTATGTGGAACCATAATGACTCAAAGAGCCCCTTTGAGCTCTTCAATGTTTTTTTTTTACAGTTTACAAAAGGGTTGTTTGCTCTTTTAGTGATAATTAAAATGTAAGGGAGGTAGCTCATTAGAATATTTTGGGTTGTGGTTTGTTCACAGCTCTTTTTGTGCAACTGTGAGTGAGAGTGTCATTCCAGTTGATCTAATGTGTTGTGTTATGCCATTCTATATGACTATGGCCAGTGATGGTGTATTGTATGGCCTTGTGTCAAATGAGAACAGTTGATTAAATCGGTCAGGGACACCAGCTGATCCAGAGGTAGCTCATTTTAACTTGGCAATTAACACAATAAGAACACCTATGGAATTTTAAATATAATATGGCTGACCAGAATAAAACACCCTGTATGGTTTTTCAAAAGGATCTACAAAGAACCTTTCAGATTGAGAACCATAAAATAACCATAAAAATAACCATAAAAAATGGTTCTATATAGCCCCAAAAATGTTTGTAACCATAGCGGAACCCTTTTCCGCTACAGTATAAAGAACATTTTTTTTGGTTCTTTATAGAACCTTAGGAAATTGTTATTTAGAGCATCATACAGGTTCCATTTAGAACCTTATGAGCATGGTTCTTGATTGAACCTTAAAGAAGTGGTTCTATATAGCCCCAAAAATGGTTCCGCTATGGTTACAAGCCAAATAACCCCTATCTGGTATTATTTAGAACCATTTTTTTTATCAATCATGTGGTCCTTGTAAGTCAGATGAGCACGGCGCTTGTAACCAGTAGTGGTTCATGCCGGTAAAAATGTATGGCAGTATCGCTTGGATAAAGCTCACCATTATTTTTTATTATTATCCTTGGCGTTCATGCTGGGTAAAAAGGCAGTATTGGACTCACCTAAGTATTCTTTATCCTAACCAACTTGTCCTCCACCTGCACAGCAAGCTTCCCTCCATCCACACCTTCCCTGTGGAAGACAGAGAAACAGACGTTGTGTTAGCATACTTTCATTTTTATAGTTTCACGTAGAAACATGCATTTGCCCACATTAACTACACATTATTAGTGCCCAGTCAGGGGGCATGTTGGGGAGATGGGTAACAGATGCGAAGGAAGAGGGGAAGTCATGGTGGACAGACATGACCATAAACTGGTGGTCCTCTCTAGCTGTTAGTAGAGCACGGCACTTGCAACGACAGGATAGTGGGTTCAATTCCTGGGACCACCCGTACGTAAAATGTATGCACACATGACAGTCAGTCGCTTTGGATAAAAGTGTCTGCTAAATGACATACTATTATTATATATTAACTGAATATCAGAGGCAATGACAAGAACAAATAAGGTGACAGACCATGTCATTCATTCATCGGTTCTTCTGACCTATCCACGTCACACAGCTGGACAGGTTGGCTACATGAGACCTAGCATTATTATAATGAATGGTTGTTACAGAGACAATAGGGCCATCGTTTCATCTGTACCATATTTTCAAATGCCAGATGATCAGTCTGTTTTATGTACTTCATTTCTGTGACTTTTAAAAAGAAGGCGGGACTGCAGGCAAATCTAGCAAATATAATGAACTGTTACTTGAGACTAGTGACATGAGACTATTACATGATGTGAAAGACAATCCAGAAAATCCCTGAATCAGAGTTGTGTAAATCTCAATACTGACCAGTTCTTATGCAAAAGAAAACAGTCCAAAACGGGCCCTGCAGAGAGTCCCTCGGGTGAGGAAGCTTGAGCCATTCCTGGGACAAAAGCCCATGTGTGTGTCTCTCTCTCTCCAGCATCTGTTTGTGTGTGTGTGTGTGTGTGTGTGTGTGTGTGTGTGTGTGTGTGTGTGTGTGTGTGTGTGGAGCAAGGACAGATGTGTGTGCTCCAGCTGCTGTCTCTGGACACATCTGATGCAACAGAATGAAATCTGAGGCTCTAGTAGAGTAGCGCTGAATGAGTTTAAAACTCCTTGAGCGATAATGGGGGATTGCAACAATGAGGGAACGCTGCAATAGTACTAATAACTTCTCTGTCCTTGGTCTGGTGTGTGTGTGTGTCGTGTGGTAGAGAAATCAGACCAGGAACTCTGTTGTAAGTTGTAATAAGCACATGCTCCACCACGTGGGATTCATTTTGCCAACCCCAGCTGCCCAACCCAAAACCACGACAACCTCAGAGAGACGGCTTCTAACTGGGGTTCTACCAGCATGAGTGGAAGGAGGAGGAAGGAGATGGAAAACAAAATGAGGCCTCCTCTGTTTTGACACAAACTGAAATAGATAGAGGCCTATTTCTCAAATGGATTGACACATTGTAGCACATGTAGTAGCTAGTGCTCTCTTCTCTCTCTCTCTCTTTCTTTGTCTGTCTCTCTTTCCCTCTCTCTATCACTCTCCAAAGGCTTCCCAGCATACTGTAGCCAATTGGAAAGAGTCGGATTGGCTGTCAGCAGACAAAGGATAGATTAGGTAGAGGGCCGATTGGTCCTTTGAGAAACATGTAACAGCTTGGGTTCTTCTGTTATCTCTGTGTCACAGTGCAAAGCCTGAATGATGGCATGACAGCTACCATTAAACTGTACTGAAGTGCAAAACATTTGACATTAACATATAAACACACACACACACTGTACAACACACACATACACACACACATACCAGCAACAACTCAAATCCCTGTAAAAGACACAACCAGGAAGCATGTATTTGCATGACAGTGAACGTTAGCTATAAAGTCCCATCTTGTAATGCAAAGCACAAGGAAAGGATTTAAAACAACCAATGATGTTCAGGCAAAGACGTTAAAAAAATGCTTTATAGCTAGGCATATATTACTTGGCCAAATGCAATGGCAAAATACAGTTAACTTAAATTTGACTTAACTCTACAACCCCACCCCTTAAGCACCCCAAAGGACCTTTAACTCAACATACTATTGTAATTTGGGCTAATAGGTGGGTAGAGAGGGGGCGCTTGTGTATGCACACTGCTTACTACACTAGTCTAGCTACTCCAAGATTGTGTTTTTAATGCAGCTGTAAAATAGACAAAAGTTTTTCTATGAGTGTTTCACCAACAAATGTTGCATATTAGGTTGTGATACAACTGAGCGACATAACAAAATTAAGGGACATGTATTCACTAGAAGGCAGCATATTAATTTGTTGTTCTAACACTGTAATTTCAATAGTGTTGTTACTGTAGCACATTGATTACTACTTTAGTAATTGCATAGTAATGGAGTGAGTGGAGCCAATAGATTTTTTTATTCTGACAGTGTACATGGGTATCATGGCTTTTCAAGAAGTAACTTGCAAACTGAGACATAGGGTGTATGCACAGTACAGAAGTCATGTACATTTTAGGCATATAGGCTACCTACATTGCATCATCATGACATGAAATACATTGTATCAGAATGTAGGCTAGGAGATCGAATGAGCTGGAGCTGCCCAATTCAGTCCAATTCCCATGCGTAGCAACACTGACAACACCCACACACACACAACAGCAGAAGAAATCACAACTATTGTCATCTATTATAAAAGGATCATAGAGTAGATCATCTGTCCAATCACTTGCATATGAAGCAAAGCTAGTTAGTAGTCCAACTTTATTGACAGTGAACTCAGAATAGAAAAGAAATTGGCTGAATTTACCTTGCGTTGAGAGGGCGAACTCGAATCGCGACTTTCACATTTGCCATAGTTCCTCACTTGGTAAAGGCGACTCGTTATGATATAAACTCCCCTTAATAATTACATTCACCCGTTAAAACGGGAAAACGTGTATTCACCATCCGTCAACCAAGACATTTCTCACAGTAAAAAGAGCTGCTTCGTCCCGAAGCTCAACGGACAGTGCGACACACCGAACGAAACATCCTGCTGGCCTGGCGAGTCTATGTAAAGAGACCGAGTGAGGCGGAGTACAGTTCAGAGGACGCTTGCCTTGCCCTTAGAATACATGGGGCATATGAGATTTCACAAGTGCATTAAATTCCCTCATGAAAATGTATTCATGCAAATACAGTAGGCCTACAGTGACAAAGTATGAAAATTATGACAGAATGAAAAGGAGCCCCCCCCCACAGAACATATCTTCATTAGTTCAATCAAAAGCATTGAAAAGACATAGCCATGGCCTACTTATAAAAACATTTCAAAATGTTTTGCCCCAAAAGAATACATCTTTATTATATTTCAATATGTGACAGGCAGCATGCGAAAATGTAAAGTTCAAAAGCAGCAGACAATCATAGTACCATAAAGTCCAACGTGAACCAAATATTATCACAAATGCACAGAAAGCATCTATGAACACACAAAATCATGAGTGAAGGTTAAAAGCATTGTGTTATACTCTGAGTAAGCGCTGACTACATTATCTGTGAACATTTATAAATGCCAAATTCCTTGGCCGAACACCAAATCATCCCCCAGCCAGCCCTTACACCCTATTCCTGAATGTATCTACTGCAATCCTTTCAGATCTACATATGTCTAGGGCAGTAGGGGTCGATTTGGGATTGGGTTCTCATGTTTCTTTAGTCAACTTTTTATTTACTAGTGTTTGTCCGTCAAGATGGTTGTTCCCCTTTTATTGATACCGCACCCCTTGTCCTCTGCCTTCTGGTACACCCTGCCACCTGGCCTGTGGCTCCACCACTGGTCCTGAGCAGCAGGACTTTTTGGTTCCCATTTGCACCTCTACACAGGACAGTGTCAGTCGATCCCAACTCGCTCGCTCCCTACCACATCCCCTTGGCCCTAACCCTTCGATGTTTGCGGCTAGGGCTTAGTCTGAACTGACTGTGGCTGGCTGTACATACGAGTGATGTTCCGGGTGATTGTCTCCTCTGCCTGTGGCTCCTCCTGTGGTGGAGCCACAGGCCAGGGGGCAGGGTGTACCAGAAGGGTGAGGACAAGGGGTGCAGTATCACAATGGCTGATCATCTAAACACGGTCTGTGTGTGTTTAACATCTCAGGAACCTAGAACGGCAGTATGGACTAACTGGCCAGAGTAGTAGAGTTCAGCTACACCTGTCAGTGACATATGTCTTCTAACAGACTGGGCAGTGTTGGCCAACAGAGCATATGTCTCTCAGAGCCATGTGTTTAGGTCTATATGGTCAGTTGGCTCCCTCTACAGGTTGTTGTGAGACATGCAACACGTCCATGTGGTTCTGAAGCTCAGGTAGAGGAAGGGATGTGGTGGAAGAGGACTGCTGCTGGATCTTCTCTATGAATTCCTAAATAGTGAAAAGAGAGAGTTATTCACAAGCAGTCCAATAGTGCATATTTGTGTCTTTTACAGTTGTCAGGTTTCTCTTGCCAAAAATATTTTGAACAATTATTACATTAGTACAATGAGGACCACCGATTTTCTGTTCCATACAGTGCAGAGGAGACATACAGTGAGGGAAACAAATATTTGATCCCCTGCTGATGTTGTACGTTTGCCCACTGACAAAGAAATGATCAGTCTATAATTTTAATGGTAGGTTTATTTGAACAGTGAGAGACAGAATAACAACAAAAACATCAAGAGAAACGCATGTCAAAAATGTTATAAATTGATTTGCATTTTAATGAGGGAAATAGGTATTTGACCCCCTCTCAATCAGAAAGATTTCTGGCTCCCAGGTGTCTTTTCTACAGGTAAGGAGCTGAGATTAGGAGCACACTCTTAAAGGGAGTGCTCCTAATCTCAGTTTGTTACCTGTATAAAAGACACCTGTCCACAGAAGCAATCAATCAATCAGATTCCAAACTCTCCACCATAGCCAAGACCGAAGAGCTCTCCAAGGATGTCAGGGACAAGATTGTAGACCTACACAAGGCTGGAATGGGCTACAAGACCATCGCCAAGCAGCTTGGTGAGAAGGTGACAACAGTTAGTGCGATTATTCGCAAATGGAAGAAACACAAAATAACTGTCAATCTCCCTCGGCCTGGGGCTCCATGCAAGATCTCACCTCGTGGAGTTGCAATGATCATGAGAACGGTGAGGAATCAGCCCAGAACTACACGGGAGGATCTTGTCAATGATCTCAAGGCAGCTGGGACCATAGTCACCAAGAAAACAATTGGTAACACACTACGCCGTGACGGACTGAAATCCTGCAGCGCCCGCAAGGTCCCCCTGCTCAAGAAAGCACATATACAGGCCCGTTTGAAGTTTGCCAATGAACTTCTGAATGATTCAGAGGAGAACTGGGTGAAAGTGTTGTGGTCAGATGAGACCAAAATGGAGCTCTTTGGCATCAACTCAACTCGTCGTGTTTGGAGGAGGAGGAATGCTGCCTATGACCCCAAGAACACCACCCCGACCATCAAACATGGAGGTGGAAACATTATGCTTTGGGGGTGTTTTTCTGCTAAGGGGACAGGACAACTTCACCGCATCAAAGGGACGATGGACGGCGCCATGTACCGTCAAATCTTGGGTGAGATCCTCCTTCCCTCAGCCAGGGCATTGAAAATGGGTCGTGGATGGGTATTCCAGCATGACAATGACCCAAAACACACAGCCAAGGCAACAAAGGAGTGGCTCAAGAAGAAGCACATTAAGCTCCTGGAGTGGCCTAGCCAGTCTCCATACCTTAATCCCATAGAAAATCTGTGGAGGGAGCTGAAGGTTCGAGTTGCCAAACGTCAGCCTCAAAACCTTAATGACTTGGAGAAGATCTGCAAAGAGGAGTGGGACAAAATCTCTCCTGAGATGTGTGCAAACCTGGTGGCCAACTACAAGAAACGTCTGACCTCTGTGATTGCCAACAAGGGTTTTGCCACCAAGTACTAAGTCATGTTTTGCAGAGGGGTCAAATACTTATTTCCCTCATTAAAATGCAAATCAATTTATAACATTGTTGACATTAGTTTTTCTGGATTTTTTTGTTATTCTGTCTCTCACGGTTCAAATAAACCTACCATTAAAATTATAGACTGATCATGTCTTTGTCAGTGGGCAAACGTACAAAATCAGCAGAGGATGAAATATATTTTTCCCTCCCTGTACATATTTCAAGTTTCAATCAAACAATCACCGTTGGCCAAGGTAACTGTGACAGCTTCCTCCAATGAGAGACCACTTCTTCCTCTCCCAGAATCCCCCTCTCTACCAGCTGTCTGACCAGGAACAGGAAGTTGTCCCACTGTAGAGATATGACAGAGAGCATGCTGGTTTATCTGGGGGGCATAAAACCTGTGCTTCACATACTCACACCTACAGAATAGTCCCTGAAATAAGGATGACATATTTACATTTAGGTCATTTAGCAGACGCTCTTATCCAGAGTGACTTACAGTCAGTGATTCAACTAAGGAAGGTAAAACAACCACATGTCAGTCAATGCAAGTCATTTCTTCAATACATACAGTACCAGTCAAAAGTTTGGACACACCTAATTCAAGGGTTTTTCTTTATTTTTACTATTTTCTACCTTGTAGAATAATTGTGAAGACATCAAAACTATGAAATAACACATATGGAATCATGTAGTAACCAAAAGAAAGTGTTAAGCAAATCACAATATATTTTATATTCTTCAAATAGCCACCCTTTGCCTTGATGACAGCGTTGCAGATTCTTGGCACTCTCAACCAGCTTCACCTGGAATGCTTTTCCAACAGTCTTGAAGGAGTTCCCACATATGCTTAGCACTTGTCGGCTGCTTTTCCTTCACTCCGCCGTCCGACTCATCCCAAACCATCTCAATAGGGGTTGAGGTCGGGGGATTGTGGAGGCCAGGTCATCTGATGCAGCACTCCTTGGTAAAATAGCCCTTACACAGCCTGGAGGTGTGTTGGGTCATTGTCCTGTTGAAAAACAAATGATAGTCCTACTAAGCCCAAACCAGATGGGATTGCGTATCGCTGCAGAATGCTGTGGTAGCCATGATGGTTAAGTGTGCCTTGAATTCTAAATAAATCACAGACAGTGTCACCAGCAAAGCAACCCCACAACATAACACCTCCTCCTCCATGCTTTACGGTGGGAACTACACATGCGGAGATCATCCGTTGACCGACACCGCATCTCACAAAGACACGGCAGTTGGAACCAAAAATATGGACTCCAGACCAAAGGACAAATTTCCACTGGTCTAATGTCCATTGCTCGTGTTTCTTGGCCCAAGCAAATCTCTTCTTATTATTGGTGTCCTGTAATAGTGGTTTCTTTACAGCAATTCGACCATGAAGGCCTGATTCACGAAGTCTCCTCTGAACAGTTGATGTTGAGATGAGTCTTTTACTTGAACTCTGTGAAGCATTTATTTGGGCTGCAATTTCTGAGGCTGGTAACTCTAATGAACCATATCCTCTGCAGCAGAGGTAACTCTGGGTCTTCCATTCCTGTGGTGGTCCTCATGAGAGCCAGTTTCATCATAGCGCTTGATGGTTTTTGCGACTGCACTTAAAGAAACTTTCAAAGTTCATGAAATGTTCCGTATTGACTGACCTTCATGTCTTAAAAGTAATGATGGACTGTCGTTTCTTTTTGTTTATTTGAGCTGTTCTTGCCATAATATGGCTATCTTCTGTATACGCCCCTACCTTGTCACAACACAACTGATTGGCTCAAACGCATTACGGAAAGAAATTCCACAAATCCGTTAATTGAAATGCATTCCAGGTGACTAACCTCATGAAGCTGGTTGAGAGAATGCCAAGAGTGTGCAAAGCTGTCATTAAGGCAAAGGGTGGCTATTTGAAGAACCTCAAATATAAAATATATTTTGATTTGTTTAACACTTTTTTGGTTACTACATAATTCCATGTGTTATTTCATCGTTTTGATGTCTTCACTATTATTCTACAATGTAAGAAATAGTAAAAATAAAGAAAAAACGTTGAATGAGTAGGTGTGTCCAAACTTTTGACTGGTAGTGTACATATTCTGCTTCAACTACATATACACAAAACCATAACATACACCAAGTAGCTATGCACATGTAGACTATACTGAGACGTACCTGTGAGTCACTGACCACGAGGACAGCTCTGAGTGTCATTTCTGTGAAGAGCAGGTGGAGGGGGGCTGATGAACAACAGTCTCTCCCCCACAGGAGAACCAACTGCTCCAGCAGGGCTTTGATTGAACAGCCTACTCTTTGGACTGGGGAGTCTGGCAGTACTGGACCACCAGGAGACACTGTCCTACCAGGAGACACTGTCCTACTACATTCCTCCTGTGAGGACACCATGGGCAGCTCCCCTGAAACTGTGCAGAGACACATATACAACAATTATCAACATTTGGTCTCATCTGGCTTCATTCCATACTGTATGTCCTGTAGCCAACTCTTCCATCGTCCCTTGTCACTCCTGTAGCTCAGTTGGTAGAGCATGGTACTTGCAACGCCAGGGTTGTGGGTTCGATTCCCACGGGGGGCCAGTATGAAAAATGTATGCACTCACTAACTTAAGTCGCTCTGGATAAAAGCGTCTGCTAAATGACTAAAATGTAAATTTACATTTACATTACATTTACGTCATTTAGCAGACGCTCTTATCCAGAGCGACTTACAAATTGGTGCATTCACCTTATAGCCAGTGGGATAACCACTTTACAATTATTATTATTTATTTTTATTTATTTTTTCATACAAGACATGCATTTAGGGCATGACAACAATGGAAGTGTTGGCAACAGGCAAATGAATGTACAGTGTAAAAAACATTAGGAACATCTTCCTAATATTGAGTTGATCCCCCTTTTTCCCTCAGAACAGCCTCAAGTCGTCGGGGCATGGACTCTACAATGTGTCGAAAGAGTTCCACAGGGAGGCTGGCCAATGTTGACTCCAACGCTTCCCACAGTTGTGTCCAGTTGGCTGGATGTCCTTTGGGTGGTGGACCATTCTTGATACACACAGGAAACTGTTGAGCGTGAAAAACCCAGCAGCATTGCAGTTCTTGACACAAACCGGTGCGCCTGGCACCTACAACCATACCCCATTCAAAGGCACTTAAATATTTTGTCTTGCCCATTCACCCTCTGAATGGCACACATACACAATCCATGTCTCAATTGTCAAGGCTTCAAAATCCTTCTTTAATCTGTCTCCTCCCCTTCATCTACACTGATTGAAGTGGATTTAACAAGTGACATCAATAAGGGATAATAGCTTTCACCTCAGTCTCATGGAAAGAGCAAGTGTTCCTAATGTTTTATACACTCAGTGCATCTCCCCTGACCTGGTTTCTAGCCATAGTTCCAGCTCTTGTAATCTTACCTAGTTTACAGGCTAGTAGGACGGTGCAACGTATCAGCATCTGTTCAGGCACTGGGAATGAGAACTGTGAAGTAATAGGTAGGAGGGAGAGGGGAGAGAATAAATACAATCCTAAACACATGTCTAGGGCTGTGGCAGTCATTACATTTTGTCAGCCAGTAAGTGTCATGCAAATGACTGCCATTCTCACTTTAATTTTACCGTTAATTAACAAACACATTTAGCATCTCCAGGCCTCCACGCATACAAACCACTGATGCGCACAGTGCATTCGTTACAACCTTATTCTAAACTGGATTAAATAAAACATTTCCCTCATCAATCTAACACAATACCCCATAATGACATAGCGGAAACATGTTTTTAGAATTTTTTGCAAATGTATTTACATAAGTATTCAGACCCTTTACTATGAGACTCAAAATTGAGCTCAGGTGCATCAGGTTTCCATTGATCATCCTTGAGACGTTTTTACAACTTGATTAGAGTCCACCTGTGGTAAATTGATTGGTTGGACATATAAGGTCCCACAGTTGACAGTGCATTTCAGAGCAAAAACCAAGCCATGAGATCGAAGGAATTGTCCGTAGAGTGCCGAGACAGGATTGTGTCGAGGCACAGATCTGGGGAAGGATTCTAAAAAATGTCTGCAGCATTGAAGGTCCCTAAGAACACACTGGTCTCCATCATTCTTAAATGGAAGAAGTTTGGAACCACCAAGACTCTTCCTAGAGCTGGCCGCCCAGTCAAACTGAGCAATCGGGGGAGAAGGGCCTTGGTCAGGGAGGTGACCAAGAACCCAAGGGTCACTCTGACATAGCTCCAGAGTTCCTCTGTGGAGATGGGAGAACCTTCCAGAAGAACAACCATCTCTGCAGCACTCCACCAATCAGGCCTTTACGGTAGAGTGGCCAGACGGAAGCCACTCCTCAGTAAAAGGCACATGATAGCCCGCTTGGAGTTTACCAAAAGGTACCTAAAGGACTCACAGACCATGACAAACAAGATTCTCTGGTCTGATGAAACCAAGATTGAACTCTTTGGCCTGAATGCCAAGCTTCACGTCTGGAAGAAACCTGGAACCATCTCTACGGTGAAGCACGGTGGTGGCAACATCATGCTGTGGGGATGTTTTTCAGCAGTAGGGACTGGGAGTCTAGTCAGAATCAAGGGAAAGATGAACAGAGCAAAGTACAGAGAGATCCTTGATGAAAACCTGCTCCAGAGCACTCAGGACCTCAGACTGGGGCGAAGGTTCACCTTCCAACAGGACAACGACCCTAAGCACACAGCCAAGACAACACAGGAGTGGCTTTGGGACAAGTCTCTGAATGTCCTTCAGTGGCCCAGCCAGAGCCCGGACTTGAATCCGATCTAACATCTCTGGAGAGACCTGAAAATAGCTGTGCAGCGACGCTCCCCATCCAACCAGACAGAGCATGAGAGGATCTGCAGAGAAGAATGGGAGAAACTCCCCAAATACAGGTGTGCCAAGCTTGCAGCGTCACTCGAGGCTGTAATAGCTGCCAAAGGTGCATCAACAAAGTACTGAGTAAAGGGTCTGAATACTTATGTAAATGTGATATCCGTATTTTATTTTTAATACATTTGCAAACATTTCTTAAAACCTGTTTTTGCTTTGTCATTATGGGGTATTGTGTATAGATTGATGAGGGGGAAAAAAAAAACTTTATCCATTTTAGAATAAGGCTGTAACATAAAATATGGAAAAAGTGAAGGGGTCTGAATAATTTCCGAATGCACTGTAAAATATATATATATATATATATATATATATATAATAAATTACTTATTTTAGGCAGGTCTAAAGAAACATGATATGAAGAAAACGTATTTCAGAAGAAAAAAACAGTGTATTCTGAGTCGGCCTAATGCATGTTATCTGGCCATGCGTCAAAGCCAATGGCAGCCTAGGCTGTAGGTAGTTCATTTAACAGACAAGATATGCTTATAAATCCTGTGCCATTATTTTACATTATTTTATAGTAAGAACATAATTGAACTTTTTCCCCATTCTCGAGCGAGCGCGCACATGAAGCGGCTATGTTGAGCGTAAAAGTGCTAATTTGAAACAGGTCCTGTACGCTAGATTTTGAGTTATTTGTCAACTTTAGTTCTGAATGATACAAATCAAAACATATGGGTTGCATGATGTGACTATATTGATGATTTAAAAAGTCACAAAAATAGCTTGCCTCAGGCTGCACACGCTGTTCTCTCATCAAGTCAAAATATTCTCACCCATCAGACTATTCTCAATTTAATCTTATCTTTACTAATATGTGAAAATATTTAGATTTAGGATGGGCCATTATCAAATGGGCAGGAACAGTGGCAGGGGGGAAAAGACATGTCATCTGTAAGCACTCCAATAGCGAATGGAGGCTGCGCTTTCCTGCGGTTCCCTTTTCTTTCATGCCGGGTAGGATACTCCGGTTTTACAGTAGAGCTTAAGGTTCTTAATATTAGCAGCTGAGAAATAAATATAGTAACAGTAGAAAGCTGGGATCCTCATCTTTTTAGTGGCAACCATCAAAACTATGCTGTCACACAGGATTGCATTTAGAAATGTCTGGGCTCATAAGAACACATATTTCACTATACGCATCAAACACATTTCATTAAACTGTTGACAACCCCTCTCTCTGCGTGCTCAAGAAAGTAATGAAGGAGAGAGGAGATGGAAACGCACGGTGGTGAGATATTCTGTAGCAAAGGTAATGCGTCAGCCTATTAATTATGATAATATACAAAAATACCCTATTACTAGGCTATTCAAAATCAAATACAAATTCACTTTAATAGTAGGCTAACTATACTCCGTAAGTCCCCCTGCGCAATCAATGAACCAACAGCATCGCCTAGGCCTATACGTTCTCTCCCAGACTCATGGATAGAAAGTTTGGAGCGTAGCATAAGTTGACCAGGCCATCCAGTATGCATATAATACAGTCCACACTCAAAGGTGATTACTAGAATTTGTTTCATTTTGGAGTAGCCTATAGTCTAGACCAATTATGTACAAAGACATCTTAAATCTGTTTTTCTTTTAGGTTTTTCTGCCGTGCGTAATATGCAGTAGGCTATTAGGCTATAAAGGCCTATTGTACAGCACAATCGTTATTTTAATTCAGGCTTTATATAGGCCTATGCATAAGCTTTAATATGCCAATGGGTGTTCTACATGCAATGCCTTAAATGCTTTGCATTAATCATCACCTCAGAAAGCGCTGTCCATTTCGTTGTGTTTGGCTCTGAAACAAGATCCACAACGACCATGTTTTCCACTCAGTTTCAACATATTGTTGAACTTTTCTTCAAATTGATTGATGACAGTGAGGTCAAACAATGTAGCCTAACAGTGAGTTTTAAAAGCATGATACTGTTTTGATGATAAGTGTTTGATGTGATTTTCGATTGTATTTGCATTGATGTCAGAGTGCTTAGAGGGACAACAGAGCGCTGAGTACCAGACCATTACCGACCTAACGGTCGTTAGCGAGTTGGGTACTACCAATGCATCAGTGCCTTTCATATACAGACCGCATAGGAGGTTACCGTGACTCAAACAGTCACGTGGAATTTGACTGTGGACATGACTCATGACTGCAGGTGTGGCAGTAATCCTGTCACCACAACAGCCCTATGCAGGACCTCTATTTGAATCATAAACCCATGTTCATTGTGAGAGTATAAAGCATGTGTTAATCAGGACCAAGGTGACAACAGCCCGTGGTACCTTTCTGCAGCTCAGTGTGTCTCCTACACTGTCCAGTAGAGCTTTCAGCTGTAGACCAGTCAGCACCTCCTTTTCAGACCTGGGGCCCACTGCAATACTCAACATCTCCTGTAGGGGGCACAATCTTCCTCTTTTATATCATTATCAATAAGACTGATTCACCAGAGCTGCAACCTGAATATGTCAAAGCTGAAGCTGAACCTCACATAATATACCATTATTCTGATAGCATAAAATCGATCATACTTCTACCCATCATAGTCAAATCAAATTGTATTGGTTGCATACACATATTTAGTAGAGGTCTTTGCAGGTGTAGCGAAATGCTTGTGTTCCTAGCTCCAAACTAGTGTCTATAATAAGGATAGCATTAAATCCTTGTATACTACATTCATTAGAACAGTACCTTAATCTCTACCAGGACATCAGATGGTCGTGGTGCACTGTGGTGGCAGTCTGGAGGGCAGGACGTCAAAGCCTCCTCCTTGCCCACGTCCCGTTTTGGGGTACGTGACTGCTCCTGGGTGACTGCTGCAGCTCCAGCTTTAGCCACGACCCCAAGGCCAAAACTAGAACCAGAACCCTCCACACCACTAGCCTCTGGGCTGGGAAGAGACTTCATCACACGGTCAAACTTTGTTTTCCACTCTCGCTTGACCAGAGCTGTGATGTTGGAGGAGAGCCAGCTGCAGGCCTTCTCAGTGGCCAGGCGCTTGGTGATGTTCTCAGACGTAGTGAGAACCTGGCGGGAGAGACAACGCATGTTAGCATCGTCAGCAAGGACTGATTTAGCTTTAGCTACAGTGGGGAAATTTTTTTATTTAGTCAGCCACCAATTGTGCAAGTTCTCCCACTTAAAAAGATGAGAGAGGCCTGTAATTTTCATCATAGGTACACGTCAACTATGACAGACAAATTGAGGAAAGAAAATCCAGAAAATCACATTGTAGGATTTTTTATGAATTTATTTGCAAATTATGGTGGAAAATAACTATTTGGTCACCTACAAACAAGCAAGATTTCTGGCTTTCACAGACCTGTAACAACTTCTTTAAGAGGCTCCTCTGTCCTCCACTCGTTACCTGTATTAATGGCACCTGTTTGAACTTGTTATCAGTATAAAAGACACCTGTCCACAACCTCAAACAGTCACACTCCAAACTCCACTATGGCCAAGACCAAAGAGCTGTCAAAGGACACCAGAAACAAAATTGTAGACCTGCACCAGGCTGGGAAGACTGAATCTCCAATAGGTAAGCAGCTTGGTTTGAAGAAATCAACTGTGCGAGCAATTATTAGGAAATGGAAGACATACAAGACCACTGATAATCTCCCTCGATATGGGGCTCCACGCAAGATCTCACCCCGTGGGGTCAAAATGAACACAAGGTGAGCAAAAATGAACACACGGTGAGCAAAAATCCCAGAACCACACGGGGGACCTAGTGAATGACCTGCAGAGAGCTGGGACCAAAGTAACAAAGCCTACCATCAGTAACACACTACTACGCCGCCAGGGACTCAAATCCTGCAGTGCCAGACGTGTCCCCCTGCTTAAGCCAGTACATGTCCAGGCCCGTCTGAAGTTTGCTAGAGTGCATTTGGATGATCCAGAAGAGGATTGGGAGAATGTCAAATTGTCAGTTGAAACCAAAATATAACTTTTTGGTAAAAACTCAACTCGTCGGTTTGGAGGACAAAGAATGCTGAGTTGCATCCAAAAACACATACCTACTGTGAAGCATGGGGGTGGAAACATCATGCTTTGGGGCTGTTTTTCTGCAAAGGGACCAGGACGACTGATCCGTGTAAAGGAAAGAATGAATGGGGCCATGTATCGTGAGATTTTGAGTGAAAACCTCCTTCCATCAGCAAGGGCATTGAAGATGAAACGTGGCTGGGTCTTTCAGCATGACAATGATCACAAAACACACCGCCCGGGCAACAAAGGAGTGGCTTCGTAAAAGCATTTCAAGGTCCTGGAGTGGCCAAGCTAGTCTCCAGATCTCAACCCCATAGAAAATCTTTGGAGGGAGTTGAAAGTCTGTGTTGCCCAGCGACAGCCCCAAAACGTCACTGCTCTAGAGGAGATCTGCATGAGTTGACATCCAAAGAACACCATACCTACTGTGAAGCATGTGATTTTTCTGGATTTTTTTCACTCAATTTTGTCTGTCATAGTTGACGTGTACCTATGATGAAAATTACAGGCCTCTCTCATCTTTTTAAGTGGGAGGACTTGCACAATTGGTGGCTGACTAAATACTTTTTCCCCCACTGTATATTATTAAGGGAAAATGTACTATGACTGATGTGCGGTTGTCTCACCTAGTCATCTTAAGATATAGATGCACTAACTGTATGTTGCTCTAGATAAGAGTGTCTGCTAAATTACTAAAATGTTAATATAGACAGAAAGAGTTGAAAGAGCAACACTGAATAGACTTACAGCAAGAGACGTCTCGTCAGGAAGAAGAACCCTGATGGCTTCTGGACCCTTCTCACTACAAAACCTGAATGCACAAAAGAGTCAAAGCCCCACAAAAAAAAAATATATATATATATAGTACCTGTAAAAATTTTGGACACCTACTCATTCAAGGGTTTTTCTTTATTTTTACTATTTTCTACATTGTAGAATAATAGTGAAGATCTCAAAACTATGAAATAACACATGAAATCATGTAGTAACCAAATAAGTGTTAAACAAATCAAAATATGTGTGAGATTTTAGATTCTTCAAAGTAGCCTTGATGACAGCTTTGCACACTCTTGGCATTCTCTCAACCAGCTTTTAATTTTTTAAATAAATAAATCACTGACAGTGTCACCAGCAAAGCACCCTCACACATCCTCCTCCATGCTTCACGGTGGGAACCACACATGCTGAGATCATCCATTCACCTACTTACTCTGCGTCTCACAAAGACACAGCGATTGAACCAAAAATCTCAAATTTGGTCTCATCAGACCAAAGGACAGATTTCCACCGGTCTAATGTCAATTGCTTGTGTTTCTTGGCCAAAGCAAGTTTCTTCCTCTTATTGGTGTCCTTTAGTAGTGGTTTCTTTGCAGCAAGTCCCCTGTAGCTCAGTTGGTAGAGCATGGCGCTTGCAACGCCAGGGTTGTGGGTTCGTTTCCCACGGGGGGCCAGTATGAAAATGTATGCACTCACTAACTGTAAGTCGCACTGGATAAGAGCGTCTGCTAAATGACTAAAATGTAAATGTAATTCGACCATGAAGGCCTGATTCACGCAGTCTCCTCTGAACAGTTGGTGTTGAGATGTGTCTGTTACTTGAACTCTGTGAAGCATTTATTTGGGCTGCAATCAGTTATTCTAGTGAACTTATCCTCTGCAGCAGAGGTAACTCTGGGTCTTCCTTTCCTGTGGCGGTCCTCATGAGAGCCAGTTTCATCATAGTGCTTGATGGTTTTTGTGACTGCACTTGAAGAAACTTTCAAAGTTCTTGAAATTTTCCGGATTGACAGACCTTCATGTCTTACAGTAATGATGGACTGTCATTTCTCTTTGCTTATTTGAGCTGTTCTTGCCATAATATGGACTTGGTCTTTTACCAAATAGGGCTATCTTCTGTATACCCCCCACTACCTTGTCACAACACAACTGATTGGCTCAAACGCATTAAGAAGGAAAGAAATTCCACAAATTAACTTTTAACAAGGCACACCTGTTAATTTAAATGCATTCCAGGTGACTACCTCATGAAGCTGGTTGAGATAATACCAAAAGTGTGCAAAGCTGTCATGAAGGCAAAGGGTGGCTACTTGAAGAATCTGAAATATATTTTGATTTGTTTTTTGGTTACTACATGATTCCATGTGTTATTTCATAGTGTTGTTGTCTTCACTATAATTCTACAATGTAGAAAATAGTACAAATAAAGAAAAACCCTGGAATGAGTAGGTGTCCAAACCTTTGACTGGTACTGTATATACAACTCTGGAAAAAATTAAGAGACCACTTAAAGGCCAGTTTTATTGCTTCTTTAATAAGCACAACAGTTTTCAGCTGTGCTAACATAATTGCAAAAGGGTTTTGTAATGATCAATTGGCCTTTTAAAATGATCAACCTGGATTAAGCAAACACAGCGTGCCATTGGAACACAGGACTGATGGTTGCTGATAATGGGCCTCTGTACGCCTATGAAGATATTCCATTAAGAATCAGCCGTTTCCAGCTACAATAGCCATTTACAACATTAACAATGTCTACACTGTATTTCTGATCAATTTGATGTTATTTTAAAAATGGACAAAAAAATTGAAAAGAACGACATTTCTAAGTGACCCCAAACTTTTGAACAGTAATATATAACACCCCAGCAGACCTGGGTTTAAATAGTACCAGATAGGCAGGGTTTGCACTTTTGGGACCATTTCATTGGCAAGCTCCATGAATCAAGTATATAACCACACACAGATGAAACCATGTGTACCTGGTAGCTCTCTCCAGAGCCTCCTGGCCTCCGTCACAGAGCTGAGCACAGATGGAGTCATTGAGTTTCAGAACGTTGGCCCCTGGTGAGATCAGCCCCTCCCTCAGCAATCTCTCTCCACCACGGACCAGCTCACACACCAACGTGGCCCTGCAACACACACACAGTCACATGAGGATCCTACCATCTCAAATGTATCAACAAAGTAATCTACAAAGAGTGGATACATACTATCACAATATTATATACAACGAGTGTACAAAACATTAGGAACACCAGCTCTTTCCATGACATAGGCTATCCAGGTGAATGCTATGATCCCTTATTGATATCACCTGTTAAATCCACTTCAATCAGTGTAGATGAAGGGGAGGAGACAGGTTAAAGAAGGATTTTTAAGCCTTGAGACAATTGAGACGTGGATTGTGTATGTGTCATTCAGAGGGTGAATGGGCAACACAAAATATTTAAGTGCCATTGAATGGGGTATGGTAGTACGTGCCACACGCACCGGTTTATGTCAAGAACTGCAACGCTGCTGGGCTTTTCACGCACAACAGTTTCCCGTTTAAAAAATGGTCCACCACCCAAAGGACATCAAGCCAACTTGACAACTGTGGGAAACATTGGAGTCAACATGGGCCAGCATCCCTGTGGAACACTTGGCACCTTGTAGAGTCCTTGCCCCTGACGAATTGAGGCTGTTCTGTGGGCAAAAGGGGGTGCAACTCAATATTAGAAAGGTGTTCCTAATGTTTTGTACACTAAGTATATACTGTATACACACGACTGTACCCACTTCATGTGTTTGACACAGTTGGATCCCACCCTCTCAGCTACAAACTCCACGGTTCGTCTGAGAGATGGAGGCTGGTTATGGAAGAAGGCTTGCTCCAAATCCACCTTCACAGACAGAAGTAACAAAGACAAATCAATGTGGTTCTATAGACACATTTCTTCCTATTTAGTATGTTTTGCTGGAAAGAGGACAGATGGTAAGAAAGATAGTAGGAGAGTATCACATAGGCAGTACGTCGGATTCAAAACCACACCAACATGGGAAGGTATATGTGCTGTAGGTGACGGCACTAACCACTAGACCACATAGGCCAGCTGAACCGCTACTCCTAGGACTGTACCTGCAGTTTGTGCTGTGACCTGGTGGTGGTGGGGGTTCCTCTCAGCTCAGCAGAGGTAGGGGTGATCTTACGGATGAGGCCTCCACCCCTGGCAGAGCTACCGGCCACAAAGGCAGCGAGGAGCTTACGGAACTCACCTGATAACAGGAAATAGAACAGAACATCAAACAACTACAGTTGTGAGAACACCATTCGGGCCCCTGCAGAAGACTGTACACATAGAAATAGAATAACTATTGTCTATTACTATAAATGACTCATTCGATTTCTATGGATGTACCCACCCAGGAAAGGACAGCAGGTGTAGAGGAGCTGTTGGTCCACCAGGGGGAGACAGTCCTGATAAATAATAAAAATAAAGTTCATCAAAACTCATGAAAAGACTGTGGCATTTCGCCTTCAAATTTAATTGACGAGAGCAATTACGGTTTACTCACAAGTCCCTGGACGTTGGTCTGGCTCTCCTCCAGCTCAACGTCTACAGCGAAATCAGTACTGAAGAAAAGCTCCTCCGGGATCACTGGGATCTGGAATAGCCAGCCCAGTACAGCCACCATGAGAAGCTGATTCAGGTAACATACCTCTCCTCCTCTGGACAGCACCATCCGCCTAAGGAATACACACTGGGTCAGGACATCAGATCACGAGAGAGAGACGGGGAAGCAGAGAGGAAAGGGAAAAATAGAGGGATGGCGAGAGAGAGATAGGTAGAAAGAGAAAGGGAGAAATGAAGGAAGACAACTGGAGACAGGAAGAAGGTAGGAGAGAGGAGGAGGAGTGTGAGAACACATGCAAGAGAGAAAGTCAAAGGGCTAAAAAGGAAATGATAGAGAAAGTAACACATACCTGTATAGGCTGAGCAGCAGTCCCAGAACGGTCCTGTAGCAGAGGAGGAAGGGTCCGGTGAAGTCCAGCATGGAAAGGAACTCCACCAGCCAGGGCACAGTCAGGATGGTCCGTCTCCTACGAACACAGCTACGCAGCACCGCACACACATCCAGCACAGAGGTACTCTGAGAATGAGGGAAGGAAAAAGCACAGAGGAGGGAAGACACAATCGGGTAAGAAACTAGTACTTTACTGACTTCTAATACAATCGATATCTTCTGATAATGGATGGATGAAAATTAACCATCTATGCATGTATAACAAAACATATGCCTCTTCCAACCAGGGTTAGGGTCAGTGACATTTCAATTCTGGTTTGAAGTCTACTTCCTGAATTGCTTCCACAGACTACTATTCCAACTCTGGTGCCACAGTACCTTGCTGCGGAGGGCGGCAGTAGCCTCCTGTATCTCCCTGGAGGTTCTCTCAGAGGTCTGGTATGGCAGGAAGGAGATATAACCCAGGAACTTAGCTAAGAGACGAGCCAACAGTAGGACAGAGGAGAAACGCTGCTTCTCATCCTGATAGAGAAAGACAGGAGGGAGAGGGAGGGAGAGGAGATATGGGAAAGGGAAAATTAAACCATTAAAAGGGTTGACATTTCAAGAAAATATGTTCTCCACCAAGACCCATTCTGAATGAGGTGCACCAAGTCTGCAGAGTGATCAGTGCTAACCTGTTGTTCCATGTCTCCCTCTCCCTCTGTACTGGAGACCACAGGAGCCAGGATGGACACCTCGTCTAGCTGGAGGAGCTGCTGACACAGACTGTCCTTCAGGTGCTGGTTCAGCTGGCAGCTAGGACAGAGGTAGGGTTAGGGGTAGGCATTCAACCAAATGGCAAATCAGGCTACTTCCGCATCTGTAGAGATCTGAGAACAAACAGTCTGTATCAGATCTCTGAAAAATGCGCAAGTAGTGTTTACATTGCAGGAACCCGATCAATGACTTGACAATCTGGTCATCTGCACAATGTGACTGCATTGTATCCAAGCTGGAACACCACTGTCTATAATCTCACCAGCTTGCAGTCTTTAAGAAGTCCCTGAAGAACTCCTGGTGTCCTGGGAAGGAAGGTGGAGGACAGGGTCCCAGAATGCCCTGGGGCTGGATCAGACGCTCCTCCAGACGCTTTAAACGCCCCAGGCTGTCTGCTCCCAGCATGCCTAGCAGGTCCGCGTCGGGGGCGTCACCCGGGGAGCCCAAGGCACGGGGACCTTTACACATCTAGACAGAGAGAGGGGAGGAGGGCTGTGAGCGAGAGAGTGCACGAGTGTGTGTGGAATCGCACCATCCCAATTCCATACCTGCACCAGCTGCTTGAGGAACAGTCTGGCGAAATGGGAGTGGTTTCCAGCGGAGTTCAGTTGACTCACCATTCCTCTGAAAGGGAGGAAGCACAACGACACCACCGTCATAACATGACCATTAACTAGGCCTACTCCTATAAAAAGACACCACATTTTGCCAGACCCAGAGCCTTTTTAGTCCAGGAGTAGGCTTAATCTCGTTCTGTGAAACTGTCCCTTAGTGTGTCAGCACTAGTATTGGTCTTACCTGACCCTACTGCCTAGTGCAGCTTCAAACTCCCATCTAGGTTCCTTGTGGAAGTCCTCCCACTCTCGCAGCACCTCGTAGAAAATATCCCTCTGCTTCTTGAAGGTGTGGAAGGCTTTGTCACTGCTGAAGTTGGAGCGGTTGTCAGTGGCAGGCTGGAATGGGACAGAGTGGATGAAGGTGTCAACAGAGGGCAAGACCTGGAAGGGAAGAGAGAGAGAGGTTTGGGCTCAATTACATTTCAATTCAGTCAATTGATTGCTTTGTGATTAGGAACATTTGAATTGCTGTTTACTTCCGAGTTGACTGAAGTGAACAAAGCATGAGTGCAATAGTGCTCGTCATATTGTGATAATGTTGGGTTATGTACCTTGGCTGTGCTGGTGTCCTGTGCCAGGTTCAGCCTGTTTCTCAGGGATGGGGAGAAGCAGGTCACCCTCTCGTTCTCAGCCAACAGACGCAGGGTGTCTTTATCCAGGTGAGATACCAACCTGACAGACAAAGATTGTTTAACCTTGTCGTCAAATTACCTCTTTTACAAGGGAGACCTAGCCAAGAGTGCAGGTCCAGTACAAACACATTGTACTGTAGCTCAGCTGGTAGAGCACGGCGCTTGTAACGCCAGGGTAGTGGGTTCGATCCCCGGGACCACCCATACACAAAAATGTATGCACGCATGACTGTAAGTCGCTTTGGATAAAAGCGTCTGCTAAATGGCATATTGTTATTATTATATTATTATTATATGGAGCCAGACTATCATAAGATTCAAGTCTTAAATGTTCAGTATAATTTGTCCATAAAGAAAGAAGAACTCACTCAAACTGATTCTCCAACACCCTGACAGAGAAGTAGACACAGTTATGCACCTTGCTGAGGTAGCCTCTTTCCAGGACATCTGTGTAAATCAAACATAACACAAAGGGTTTAGCAAAGTCATATATAAACACCAATAAAACATGAATTAAGCCCTACATTGAAATAAATACATCTTAGCTGAAAGAAAGAACATTCCAGAACTCCATCCATAATAATTACTAGTCCTGCGAAAGAATCGCCACCTCTCACCTGACTTCACCATACTTAGATCCTTGTCCTCTTCCTCTGTGATGGCTGGTGTTCTAGATGTCAGCAGCTGCAGTACAAAGAACATCTCCAGGAACACGTTGGGAACTAGGTTTTCTGTCAGAAAGAGATAGACCGAACACAACTTTAGAATCTAAACCAGAATTGATGTTATTACACTACAGTAATTCTAAAATCATACTACATGCACATTACCTCTACTAAAGTACTTAAAATCTTAAACTAACAAAAGCAGATTTCCAAAAGAACAAAAAACAAATGTTGATTAAATAGCTAGCCAACCCTGGTCCCAGATCTGTTGTGCTGTCGTGCCAACTTCTATGATCATTGCAGACAGCACAAACATATCTGGGACTGTCACAAGGACCAGGTTACCCCCCCCCCCCAGCATGAAACACTGTCTCCCCCTACAGGTCATGTACCAGAGATGCAGGTGCAGTAGAGGTCAGCCAGAAGGTCCAGTTCAGAGGTCAAGGTGACTTTAGTGGGGTCAGGACATGACCCCTGGGTGTCAGGGGTCATTTTGGAGCCTGATCCCGGCCGGAGCCCTGATTTGGTAGGGGTACAGGGGTCCAGAGAGGGGGGTAGAGGGGAGCACACCTGCTGGGCTCGTTTACACCTAAAATTAAAAAAATAACATGTTGAAAATGACAGTAAAGGAACAAGTGGGATAATTGAGATTGACAGAGGTAGAAAAAGGACCGATTTCATGAGCGCAAATTAAGACTACTCCTGGAATAAAACAACTTTCAATTGAGATTTTCCATTTTAGAAAAGTATTTTTAGTCCAGGATTTGGCTTACTCTGTGTTTGGGAAATCGGTCCTAGAAGAAGTAAACAAGTATTAAGTCTGGATAAAAAGAGGTGTGTGTTATAATGGTGACTGGCCTCCTTAACCCACTTACTTCACTCTCTTTAGCAGTTCTCTCTCCTCCTGCAGACTGAGAGGGGGGCTGCCCATGTTCAGTTTCAGGGCCCCAGTGATGCACCCTTCGATGGCCCCAGTGACTGCCTCTGGGACTGGGGGAGGGCTGGAGGGCCTGGTGCTGAACGGGGTGGAAGTGAAACAGGTCTTCGGTCTGGAGTGAGGCCGCTCTGCACTGACTGGGGTTGGGTTGATCCTCCGAGATGGTTTTGTCTGCAGTCTAGTGGAGAAAGAAGTGGTACGATAAAATAACATTGTTGTTCATTGTTTTGGTTGAAGTAAGATATTTTGTATGTTTTGATTGATCTCTTAATTCACAGGTGAGACATTTCATTCAGTGTTCTTAAATTCAATTCAAGGCATAGAATATAACTCACAGTGGTGAGGCATGTGACATCCCCATAGGTGGGAAGTCTTCCAGGTTGGTTAAGTTGAGCTGGACCAGCGTTGGCGTCTGAGACTTTGGAGGTGACACGGCTGGGTCACCCATTTTAGTAGCCCCTGATCCCCTTCCCTTCCTCCCACCACCCTCAGATCTTCCTGGCACCACCTCTTCAAACTGGAACACACCACGCCCCCCACCCTGCCTCCCCTGCCCTCCCATTCCCATCCCGGCACTCCTCCTGCGGCCACGCGGCTGCTGCTGGACCCCCAGGCTGAGACTGTGGTGGTGGGGTTGGTTCTGGAGCTCTGGAGGTGACAGCATGAAATCCCCCAAACTGGCTCTCTGGTCGGAGCGGCGCTCTGAGGGAGTGTGCCTGGGGGTGGACGCTGGAGCAGGGCTCCTGGCTGAGCTGAAGGAAGGACTACTGAGGGCACTGACCCCACTTAGGCTACCGCCACTCAGGCAGTGGGAGCCGGATGGGGGGTGGGTAGTATCCCACTCAGCCCCAGGGGACAGGGAGGGAGTGGAGGAGAATAGCTGGACACGGCTGGCGCTATGAGGACCGGTCCCATGTCCGGTCGATCTGCAGCCCCCCCTGCGTTCACTGGAGAAGCCTGGCCCCTGCTGAGAGGGCTGGGAGACCCTGGGGCGGCTGGGGGTCTTGGCGGGTGTGGCAGGGCCATGGGTGAGGGCGGAGCTGCTCTGCTCCCGCAGGAAGTTCAACAGGAAAGGAACAAACTCCTGTCTTTCAATCTTCAGTGGTTTACACCATGCCAAGCTGTCACTGTCCTGTTGTGACAGTAACAGTAGGAAGAATGTATGAGAACGTCTCAAGAATATCTAGCTACATAACGTTAACTAGCTAGCTAGTTATGTCTTGAAGTGGTCATCGTTAGTTAGTTAGCAAGCAAGCGTTGACAGCTAACTAGCAATACTTTCCTAAAGAAATAGCTTGTTTTGATGTCCTGATTTGCATCATTTTGAAGTTGATAGGACAGGTAGCGAGTTGTCAGTTGACTAGCTAGCAAGCTATTGATTCCAAAACAGTTAGCTAGCAAGCTGGCTAGCTAGCCTAGTTTCTATATTGAAAATAGCAGGTGAGCGAGCAGTGGAAAAGTTTTGTTTACATCCGTTCTACGATGACATTTCGTAGTGCATGCAAAACTATTGAAACCAGACACTACGAATTCCACTTAATCTAGGTTTGCATTATTTGTCACTTACCTCGTCGTGTTTTAGCCATTCTACGGCCTTGATAGCCTCCACTTCCTTCTGTAGCAACGATTCCAAAAGAGCCGCCATTCTGGTTTGAGCAGGCGCTGTCTGGCTCTCTGCCTGCTTGGAGTTGGGGGCGGACCAGAATGGGAGCAGGCGCGCGAATGTTGCTACCGCATTGCCCTGGGGCGCATTCCAAAAATAGGACAGCAGGCCTACTTCACAGTCAGATTGGGTTCTATTCTTCTTCTTCTTCTTCTGTAGGTTTTATGGCGGACTACATCCAAAAGTTGTATTGCCGCCACCAACTGGACGGTTTGAAACCAAAAAGAACATTAAAATAAATAAATCCATACTTAATAGTGATTCTAACAATCAACCCTAATAAAAATAGTACATTGCCAAAACAAACAAAACTCCCACTTCTTCCTTCTTTTAGTTCTCCATATCTCCCTTCACAGGCTCTAGGACCTGAGCATGATACGGCTTTTGCTAATATTCCATGTAACTCCTTTGCTGTGAAATCTTTCAGCCCCAGGAACTGCTCCGACGCAATCACAATGATTTAAATCTTCCTAGATATTTTCTCCACCTTGGCAGTGCCATTTATCACCATTGCAATAAAGGCCACAAAGTCCACCTTTTTAACCTTGAAAATGTCAGGATCCTCTTGGTGTAAACAACCCCTGCAGCCTGCAGTGAAGGCCTATCCACTACCATGGACTCTTCTAGAGCAACATTCAAACCCTCAACCCTTTTCACAGCTTCTGCATATGAAATGCTCTGGGAAGCCCTGACTTTGGCCATCCCATTCTCATTTACCCTTGTGGGGCATTCAGAAGACGTGGCTTCATGTTTCCCACCGCAATTACAACATGTCACATTTTCTACACTTCTATAACACATAATATGATATTTTCCATATCTTGTACATCTCGGCTTCTCCCTTCTGCAAACACTTTCTACATGACCAAAAGCTTTACAATGTTCACACTGCATTGGTCTTGGGATAAATGCTCAAAGTCTGTAGTAATATACCCTAACGCACTTCATTAGGGAGAGACTCCATTTCAAAAAACAAAAGAACAGATAAACTCTTCACTTTTTCCCCATTCACCACTCAATTCATCCGATGTGCTTCAATCACTCCAGGAATTTTTTTCATCACTTACAAATCAACTTCCCACGAAACGCCAGATACACTGCTCAAAAAAATTAAGGGAACACTAAAATAACACATCTGAATGAATGAAATAATCTTATTAAATACTTTTTTCTTTACATAGTTGAATGTGCTGACAACAAAATCACACAAAAATTATCAATGGAAATCAAATGTATCAACCCATGGAGGTCTGGATTTGGAGTCACCCTCAAAATTAAAGTGGAAAACCACACTACAGGCTGATCCAACTTTGATGTAATGTCCTTAAAACAAGTCAAAATGAGGCTCAGTAGTGTGTGTGGCCTCCACGTGCCTGTATGACCTCCCTACAACGCCTGGGCATGCTCCTGATGAGGTGGCGGATGGTCTCCTGAGGGATCTCCTCCCAGACCTGGACTAAAGCATCTGCCAACTCCTGGACAGTCTGTGGTGCAATGTGGCGTTGGTGGATGGAGCGAGACATGATGTCCCAGATGTGCTCAATTGGATTCAGGTCTGGGGAACGGGTGGGCCAGTCCATAGCATCAATGCCTTCCTCTTGCAGGAACTGCTGACACACTCCAGCCACATGAGGTCTAGCATTGTCTTGCATTAGGAGGAACCCAGGGCCAACCGCACCAGCATATGGTCTCACAAGGGGTCTGAGGATCTCATCTAGGTACCTAATGGCAGTCAGGCTACCTCTGGTGAGCACATGGAGGGCTGTGCGGCCCCCCAAAGAAATGCCACCCCACACCATGACTGACCCACCGCCAAACCGGTCATGCTGGAGGATGTTGCAGGCAGCAGAACGTTCTCCACGGCATCTCCAGACTCTGTCACGTCTGTCACATGTGCTCAGTGTGAACCTGCTTTCATCTGTGAAGAGCACAGGGCGCCAGTGGCGAATTTGCCAATCTTGGTGTTCTGTTTCTGACCGTTTGAGCAGACACATTTGTGGCCTGCTGGAGGTAATTTTGCAGGGCTCTGGAGGTGCTCCTCCTGCTCCTCCTTGCACAAAGGCGGAGGTAGCAGTCCTGCTGCTGGGTTGTTGCCCTCCTACGGCCTCCTCCACATCTCCTGATGTACTGGCCTGTCTCCTGGTAGCGCCTCCATGCTCTGGACACTACGCTGACAGACACAGCAAACCTTCTTGCCACAGCTCGCATTGATGTGCCATCCTGGATGAGCTGCACTACCTGAGCCACTTGTGTGGGTTGTAGACTCCGTCTCATGCTACCACTAGAGTGAAAGCACCGCCAGCATTCAAAAGTGACCAAAACATCAGCCAGGAAGCATAGGAACTGAGAAGTGGTCTGTGGTCACCACCTGCAAAACCAGTGTCTTGCTAATTGCCTATAATTTCCACCTGTTGTCTATTCCATTTGCACAACAGCATGTGACATTTATTGTCAATCAGTGTTGCTTCCTAAGTGGACAGTTTGATTTCACAGAAGTGTGATTGACTTGGAGTTACATTGTGTTGTTTAAGTGTTCCCTTAATTTTTTTGAGCAGTGTATAACCCCCTTGAGGGGTGCCCTGTTCCGAAGCGACACACACAACACTTATCAAATCGATTAAGACACAACGCACGTTCCTTCTGATCCGCAGAATCACAAAAAATCCAAACAAGCCCGCCTCTCGTGATCCTCACATCCTTCACTTTACCCAGCACTCTCTCCACCAGTTTGGATAACTCAAATGGTTTCTTCAAGATTGGTACTCTGCTCAGCTGCCCCTCATTAACAAACCGTACTCCTACTAGATACAAAGGGTCATTCTCATCACTGTACCCTACTTCGCTCCGTTTTCCATTCTTTTGAACAATACTAAAATTCTCCTTGATTCTGCCCCAATTGTATTCAGATCCCACTTCATCATCCGCTTCCGCCATCTTCCGTGAAGCGGTTTCATCCGCCCTGACCTCAAATGCTCCTCTTCTTCCGACTCCCTCTTGATTGCGTTCTATGACTGACAAATAAACATTTAAGTGCAAACAGCACTCAAATCGGAACCTGTTCCAATATTATGTTCAAATACTAGGCAAATTTACCATTTGCATTACAAAAGTGCACTCTGCAGTAGTAATGACATCTACCTGTCACCGGACCACTTCTCAAATAAAATAAATAGGCAAACAGTCAGGTGTTTTCTGCATGCTGAATTAGTATTTTATTTATAACCAGTTTATAAAAATAAAATACAAAATAATTGTAAACGAACAGAAAAAAACACTGTACAAGGCATTGATATGGTACAAATGATAAAATAAGCATAAATAATTACAGTTATGTACAATGTAGATCCTCCTCTTGTTACATTCTTTCCTTGTGACTATACATACATTTCAAAACTGTTACATTGCAACACAGGACTAAAACGCGAAGCATTTAAATAAATATCTAAAACTGAAGTCACACAGGCAATGAGTGTCAACGATGAGCATCATTACCCAATACATCAATAAATACATGTGTTGTTGTGGTTGTTGTTGTTTTTACATTTGGCCTATTGGCCCAAAAACTTCAAACAACTCATTATCTGTGGCCATGAATGAGTACAATCATTGGACCACAGATACAGGCAGGCTATGATACCTTTGTGACACCTTTACGATCACACCACCAGTCAGTGGCCAATCATAATCTCAGTCCGAAAAGTAACATTATAAACTGGGTGGTTCGAGCCCTGAATGCTGATTGGCTGACTGCTGTGTTATATATATATCATATACCACAGGTATGACAAAACATGTATTTTTACTGCTCTAATTACGTTGTTAACCAGTTTATAATAGCAATAAGGCACCTCAGGGGTTTGTGGTATATGGCCAATATACCACGACTAAGGGCTGTATCCAGGCACTCCACATTGCATCGTACTTAAGAACAGCCCTTAGCCGTGGTATATTGGCCATATACCACACCCCCTTGGGCCTTATTGCTTAAATATACCACTTTGTTGTGCAATAATAACAACAGAAGATAAATATTATGAATGGATTGATGATCTATTCCAGAAATCAACAGCACTCTTTATTCCTTTAGCACTTCCCTTTTATTAAAGCCTTTAGTGAAGCAATAAGTTATAGTTCATCAAGATGGTCTTTTAAATAAAAGCATTACACTTTTTTGCAGGTATATATTACAAGTTTTGAGCAACTACAGCTGAAGTCAGTTAGCTTATGGAAGTACCGAATATAGCCTAGAATTGAAAAGATCGCTCACTGCTTGGTGCGGTACTACTGTATATGTACTGTACATTCGTATCACAATCTCTGGATGTAAAAACAGATCTTTATCATACACCTTAAAACCCCTTCAACCTAATTTCTGATTCCAGAATCCAGACACAGCTCAATGGTCAAATGGCTATTGACAGTGAATTCACACATTCTGTCCAGTCAATGGGCAACTTGATTGGACCAAATTGGCCAATAAGAGCAGAGCTGCCCACAGAAAGCAAAGCTATCTATCTGAAAGTCAAACACCAATAGTCTGCCTCTAATCTTCTGGATAAATAATTTCCACAGATCGGTAAAGGCAGGCAGGCAAGACGGGACGGACAGCACACCTATCAAGGACGGAAAGGGATTCGGGAGAACCCTATACAGTCTATGGGAGAACCTGACAGTAGGTTGGTGGCTAAGCAGTGGAGTGATCCCCAGCACAGAGTAGACAGAGTAGACAGACAGACAGACAGACAGACAGACAGACACAGTTCAGTCATCCCTTACTTACACAGCCAAGGGAAGAAAAGAGACATGATTAAGGCGACCGACTGACTGAACACTGTGTCTAGCCTTGGGATAAGCCATATCATAGCTGCTCTGTGAAACGGTTCACACTAGATGGGCAAGCTGCAAAAAACAAACATTAGCTTTTTGGTCTTCATTTAAGGTTAGGCATAAGGTCAGCACTGAGGTTAGAGTTAAGGTTAGGGTTAGGTTTAAAATCAGATTTTAAGAAAAGATATTGTAGAAATATGCAATGGCCCAATTTGTAAGTCGCTCTGGATAAGAGCGTTTGATAAATGACTTAAATGTTAAAAATGTTAAATGCTTACGACTTTGCAACTTGGCCAGATAGTGACGACCCTGTGAGACAGAGGGGTTTTTCAAGGTTGCCTACATGTTGCATAGATCATCAGATCATAAAGTCATTGATGGGGTTCCTGCAATGTTAAACGCAAATCCACATTTGTAGAGATCTTCGTTGAATCAGATCTGTATCAGCCTGTCTGCAATGTAAGCATCCTGGAACGCCACCAAGCTGTATGCAGCCAGGTACAAATATATCACAATGGACCAAGTAAAACAACAACATACAGCTACAGTCCTCCTGTAGCTCAGTTGGTAGAGCATGGCGCTTGCAACGCCAGGGTTGTGGGTTCGATTCCCACGGGGGGCCGGTATGAAAAATGTATGCACTCACTAACTGTAAGTCGCTCTGGATAAGAGTGTCTGCTAAATGACTAAAATGTAACTGTATATCATGACAGAGCAATGGTGTCCATCTCATACTGCAGTGGTATAGTAGATATCTCCCCACTGCGTATTGGTTGTATAAGGTTTGGGTGGTACCCATATTTTCATAGTGTCATACTGTTTCTGTACCATTCCGGTGCATCCAGTATTACCACAAGGGGCCCTATACAACAAAAAGTACCCCTTGTGGGGATTTTTTCGATGCACAAAACAATTTAGGCAACAGGGATCTTGATCCAGGAGGGGGTTGAATGTCTCTGTTATAACCAAGAAGCTTGATCTTGACCTCTAACCACTTAGCTAGCAAGATAGCAAACTAAATGTATAGCTGGAGCCCTGAGCTGGATATAATTTATTTGGCACATTTTTTATTTCTTATAGCTATACTTAACTTATAGTTATAAGCAGTGGCGTAGCACGCACCCCCCAACCCTCCCCCCCAAATCCCCCCCACCCCCCTCTAAATGTTTGTCGTTTTTTTAACGTATTGAAAATCATACCGTCGGTATTTCGAAATACCCAGGTATATGGTATAAATGGTATATCGGCCAAGCCTAGGTTGTATAATGTAAATACTCCAGGCAAGTATTTTCCTCTTTACATACTGTACTATGCATGTGTCACATCATGACAATAAGCCAATCAAACGGATATCAAATAAATACATTAGATCCCTTTTTAGGAGCATCCTTTTTTAGTAGTATTACCCAATCAGTCAGTGCAGTAGTCCTAAGATGTGAGCTTTTGGAGAGCTAGAAAAGCAGATAAATGCTGTGGACCAGGTGGAACGATAAGAGTGAAGAGTGATCGAGATTGTGAGGAGAAATGGAAAACGAAACAAATTAAATATTCCAACCAAAATACATATGGTACTATCCAACAAGAAGAATAATTCCCTTTCAGACATTCACAATGCATTATGGGAACTGGTATGCTGCTTACTTTACTGATTGGTTGATTGTTTTGTTTTTCTATTTTCTTGGTAGGCAGCGCATGCAAGGAGTAGTAGTGCTGGAAGCAGTAGTTAGTTATATTACAGTATCTTACAAGCAGAGTGGTGGGGAGAGGTAGCCTGGGTACCAGTCAGTTTCTGCTATCATTCCACTCCTTGCTACTCCTTTTCATTCCAATGTTGGGCAATACCACGGAGTACAAGGAGTGGAATGTCAGAACAAAAGCGGTTCTGGATTTCAGGCTGGGGGGGTTTTAAATGTAGTAAAAGAAAGGTCAGGTGAGGGAGGTTTTAAATGATAGTGTTAATTGAAAATGTGGTTGGTTCTCAAACAATACATTAACTCTGAGGTAATAGTGCACAAAACATACAGTATGTCATTACAAAAGAAACAAAACATTATCTTGCGCATGTTTTTTTTTATCCTTTGGGAAGTTTGAAACACTGATTTGGTATATGATACATGATATTTATATGGCATAAATATCATGATTACTTGACATAAATGATGGACCTGTCATAAAATGTAGACAAACAGGATATCTAAGTTTTAGTTTAAAACATTCCCTTTCTTTAATATCTCAAACACATGTTATATTTCTTAAAATAATGTCTGAATAAATAAAATAAAAACATTCACTTTGCTTCCTTTTCCTTGTAGTGAATAATACTGTTACACTCACATGAAGAGGACTGTCTTTGCAGCTTGCACAATTTTTGTGGGGGCCGATTTTGTAAAAATGAGAAACATAGCCTACTTTGTAGTGAAACCAGAAGCTGCCCAAAGTGCCAAGGCAAGGCACACATTAAGACAAGTGTTTATTAAACATTAATAATCATTATAACTTAGTGTTGCCTTGTATTCACTACTAGTATTATAAAAAGTACCATAAGCGTTCTCCCCAAGTGTGCACTCCCCTCCCATCCATGCATTTAAAATCACTGGTTTGGTGTAAGCATGGGCAAGGCTAGGGAGGGCTGCCATGACATTTCTTACACCATTACTTTCCTTTTAAGTCCAGGGCAGAAGGATAAAGTATTGGGACGCAAAGTCAGACTCCTTTCTCAATAGGAGCATACAAAGGGAATCAAGGCCCAGTTACTAGTATTCAATCACACATTTAGTTTGACATTTAGATTCCCCCAATCAATCAATCAATCAATCAACACAGTAGGCACAAGTACGTGTGTGAGTTCACACACACTATACGATTGTATTAAAGGAAGGATCACTCAAAATGATCACTTCTTTCATTGATCGATTGATGGCTTTAGGTGCCTTTGAAATAAAGAACACTCCCTATACTGTACATTTGAAGTCAGAGACGGAGAGAGCAAGTGTGTAACTGGGGTGACAGGTGCGTCAAGATTTCAATAAATAGGATCTATAGATAGTGTACATTTCTCTCGAGAGCTTCATGGCCATACAGGTAGACCTGCTATACCGCACTCCCCAGGTCAGTACAGAGGAAACACAATAGAATGAGTCAATATTCAAATGGTTAGTGATTCATAAATAATTGCTCATCCACTGAATTTCCACCGTTAGCGTCCTAGGGTAATCTGAATGAAGTGTGTTTACTTTCACTGATGAGATGAGGGAAGTAAGTACCCCTACATTTTATACACAGCATAATGCATATAGATACTTTTCGCATGAAGTATGAATGCTTAAAGTGGGCATATAAATTAGTGATTAAACAATGACAAAATGGAAGAAATAAAAGAAGAACAAGTGAAAGAGAGAGAGGACAGCGGTGTGGGGAGAAACTGAACGGGGAGGAGAGGGGAGACATTAAGTTCAGTATTCTCTGACAGAAGCTTCAGGTCTTCATCGATCCCGAGCATGATTGTCTGGTCTGTATGAACATCCCACCCTCTGCTGTGGCAACAACACTGACCCCCAGGCCCTACACACAAAGCAACTCAGGATAGGAGTGCTGATCTACGTTAAGTTTAGTGATTTATTATGATGATTTATTTAATTAATACGATTACATGGACAGAGGGGACCTGCTCCTACTCTGAGACACTTTAATAAATAGGCCCAGCGCTTCCTATGGGCCAGGCTAGGACCAGGGCTGGAGCAGTGGGCCACTATCTGCCGCTCAGCTTGCTGGAGCACTTCCTCTCCCTCTCCTCGCGGCTGCAGACTTTCCCCCTTGGGGCGTGTTGGTGGAAGGGGCCGGTGCGGGCCTGGCGGCCGCAGCAAGTCTCCTGGTGGTGGGGGTAGGAGCGCCGGGGAGGAGGGGGGGACCCGGAGAAGCTAGGAGGGGATCGGGACCGACCGAAACAAACCCCTCCTCCTCTCTCTCCCCCGCGGTGTTCGTGGCGGGAGGGGGAGGAGGAGACAGAGCGCTGTAGAGAGGAGGAGCTGCGTGGAGAGGCGCTGGAGGTCCGGTGGGGATGGTGGTGGGGGGAGCTGGTCAGGCTACACATGCCCATCCGGGAGCCTCCGTGCTGGGCTGAGGAGCGGCCGTGGTGGGGGGAGCCGCGGACAGAACCACCACCATGACCATGGTGCATCAGCTGGGCCAGGCAGGTCAGGAGGTCTGAGTCGCTGGTGCTGCCCGCTCGGATTCGGTAACGCCTCAGCCTTGGGTGGCGGATGGAATATGAAGAAAGGGTTTAGAACTTTAGATATACATTGTCAATTGAGATCATTAAGGCAAAATTAGAGTAATTCAGCTGAATGATAGTAGCCTGGTCCCAGATCTGTTTGTGCTGCCTTGCCAACTCCAAACATTGGCATGACAATGATCATAGGAGTTGGCAAGGCAGCACAAACAGATCTGGGACCAGGCTACTTTGATAGATGGGAAAGACATGTAATAAAAACTAATAATGAAGAGTTATATTACCTGCCCTCCACTGCAGGGCGACTGGGTGGTTTGCCCGGGGGTGGGCGTGGTAGGTACTGTGCAGCTCGCTCCTGCTCTGGGGCCGGGTTAGGAAGGTTAACGGGGCGAGGGATCCTGCTCTTACGGGACAGGGGGCTGGAGGAGGAGGACAGGGAGGAGGCGTCATCCCCCTGGCGGTCGGAGCGTGAGCCCAGGAACAACTCATCGACCGTCTCAGAGCGGTCCGAGGCGGAGGACAGCTGTTCCCCACGGGGGAGCGAGGCCATGATGGAGCCACGGTGGGAGAGAGAGGGAGAGGCTGTGGGAGAGGAGGCTGGGTGGTGGCCTCCTCCCTGGTGGTGGGCTTTCTTCTGGAACAGCTTCTCCATGGCAGAGCCAGGGGTGGGGAGGAGGTCCAGCAGGCTGGAGGGTTCCAGGACAGGGATACGGCTCAGCCTGCGGGAGGGGTCCCTACGGGGGGCAGAGGGCAGGGAGGAGGGGGTTAGAGCTGGGGCTGGGTCACTGGTCTCCACCCCATCTCCCCTGTCTGACCGGGGCTGGTCACTCTCATGGTCCTTCAGCTCTGGGAAGGCTCCACTGCTGCCATCCCCCTGGCCGTAAGCTGGGGGAGTGAGATGGCCGTTGATTAGCCCTAACACTGGACTGTGGGGGGAGCGTGGAGAATTAGAACGGGGAGAATTAGGAGAAACGGGAGAGTGAGGAGAATGCGGGGAGTGAGGAGAAGACATTCGGCTTAGCACAGGGCTGTGGGCTTTGGTATGGGTCCGGGTGTTGATGTGGGTGTCTCCTCCGTTGACCAAGGTATCTGCCAGGAGGTCATCCACAGTGGTGGGACTGCCGGGCTGGCTGCCAGGCTGGGTAAAGGTGTGGTTAGGGGTGGGCAGGCGCTCCTGGCCCTGGGAGGAGTGGATATCAGCGGTAGCAGTATTATCCTGGGTCTGATTGGCCTCAGCTGCTGCTTCACCTCGTCTCTCCAGCTGGAGGCACTGTGGAGCACTGTCTGAGCCTGACGGGGACCGCTGAGCTGTCAACTACAGAGAGAGATGGGTAGAGGGAGAGAGACAGACAGACAGAGAGAGAGAGAGAGAGAGAGAGAGAGAGAGAGAGAGATAGAGAGAGAGAGAGAGAGAGAGAGATAGAGAGAGAGAGAGAGAGAGAGAGAGATAGAGAGATAGAGAGAGATAGAGAGAGAGAGAGAGAGAGAGAGAGAGAGAGAGAGAGATGTAGAGCCAAATGACAACATTGTAAGAGATCATGTGAAAAGATTCAATTAAGATCATAACATGCCACAGCAAGGCAATGTCAGTCAAGTCAATAGTCAGTATCAAACCAGCAACAAGAAAGACCTGGGTCAAATAGTATAGATCATGTATTTGATTTAGCTTGGAGTTTTGGGACTATTCCATTGTACCTGGAAAGCTAAATTATGCACCCCTCAAGTATTTGACTCAAGTATTTGACCCAGCTCTGCAACAAGAACAAAAACATTTACACAACCATGCAGGGGACTACAAAAGAGAGAAGGGGTCAGGGTCAGTAAAAGAAAGAGGGGGTCAGGTTGAGTTTAAAAAAAGAGAGAGAGAACAGGAGAAGCGGAAAGGACAAAAGACAGAGACAATCACCAAAACAAAAGTCACTGTCACGTAACCTGTAGTCATGGCTCCACATTCTAAACACACATATACTACAATCAGAAAGCTCCCTGAGTAGGGTTGGTCTCAATTCTAGTTCAATTCAGTCAATTCAGGAAGTAAACTGACATTCCAATTCCAATTTTCATCATTGCTTTTCAATGAAGAAAAGTGGAAGTGCAATTTCAGTTTACATTCTGAAATGACTGAATTGAAAAGGAATTGAAATAGAATTGACCCCATTCCTTCCCCTGACCGGAGGACACATTGATCTGAGCATGCTCTGTCTGCATCACAATGATCTGTTGTTCTCTGGAGAGAGCAGTCTGCCTGACGACAACACGACAACACAACAGCCAAACAAACGCACTAGCAGCAAAAGGAAACAAAAAGGAAGCAAAGAGAACAACCAAACAAAAAGTGTAAAAAATGACGGTAAGTAACTAATAGCTGAGGGAGTAAGGTAGGCGGTGTGTTATGGTTAAGATAGAGACGACTGAATCGTTAGTGGCCTCAGGGCGAAGTGGGCGGCTTGGTCATCACCTGCTGAAGTTGGGCGCGTGTGATGCGTATAACGGAAGGGAACTTGCTGTTGGCGGCGCCCGCCGGGATCTCGGGCAGTTTCCTGCGCCCGGTGGGCGATTGGTTACGGGCAGAAACGGGGTGAGGAGGTGGTGGAGGTAGGGAGGCGTGGCAGGAGGAACAGGAGGTGGGACGGAGGAGGTGCTGTTGGTGGTGGTGGTTGGCTGAATAGCGCCTCATCCCAGGAGGGTCCCTTTGGTGCAGGGGGTCCGACAGGGTGGTGAGGAGGGTCTGGGTGTGCGGGCTGGGGGAACGCAGGAGCAGGGGACTGGACGTCCTGGCCAACACCTCCTCAGGCAGGGACGGAGGAGAGGTGGGGAGCTAAGAGTAAGGGGGAGGGAGGGAGAGGGAGAGGGAGAGGGAGAGGGAGAGGGAGAGGGAGAGGGAGAGGGAGAGGGAGAGGGAGAGGGAGAGGGAGAGGGAGAGGGAGGGTGAAAAGAGAGGGAAGGTGGTGAAAGAGGAGAGATGATTTGGACAGGTAGAGTGCGGGGAGAGAAATGGGAAGAGGTAAAGGTGTGGAAAGAGGATAGATTGGGGTGGGGAGGGAAGAGAGTGGGGGAAAGGGAGGATCGGAATGGGGTGGGGTTGGAGGTGAAGAAGGAGGAGTATAGCATATATTTAAAACTTTGAGGGAGTGGGCTGCGAGGTGGGAGGAATCCTGAGATCTAAAACGTCTCCTTAGAGGAATCTCATGAGTCAGTGTGCGATCTATTTCTTCAGATAGCACCATTTGAGAAAGGATCAACCCAGGACAGGAATTCAAGCGTAGATAAATCAATATAGCAAATGAAAGTTGTAAATAAAGAGCAAATAATGATATCAAATGCAAATCAAAGTGCCCTTTCTAGCAACGGCAACTCTCAAACAAAACCATTGTCTGAGGAGTATCCATCGTTTTATCAAGCTCACACAAGCAAAGAAACAAGCTCACATGACATAAGTGATCACAATCACATTCTACTTCAAACCACAGCAAGATGCTACTGTTGACCCAGATGAATAAAGTGTCCTACTGTGTCTAGTTCTGTGTAAGCTGTATTACTCTATCGGTGTACATTACATGATATGTCTTGACCTGTGTGAGGTATGTAATAGTGATGTGTGTTACAGGGAGGTATGTCATATAATAGTGCAGTGTTTTCCAGTGAACTGTGTAATACTAGTCCATGAGGTCCTTACCTGTGTGAGTACTCCCTCAGCCAGGCCCTCAGCAGGGCTAGTGTGGGTGATGGGGGGCAGGCTTCCAGGGGGTCCCACACTCAGCTCCAGCCTGTCCACTCTAGGGGGTCCTCTCCTGGACCCTGGTGACCCCTGGAGGTTCCCATCCCTGTCCCCATGGATCTGAACAGGACTTGGACTCCCCCTTGACCCCTCCCCTGCCTCCAGGGGTACCTCCAGCACCTCCAGGTCCTCTTCTTCCTCCTCAGAGGGGCTGGTCGTAGCCTTCGCCCCAGTTCCTGTCCCTGTCCCTGGGGACTCGCTGGGCCTCTCCACCATCACCCACTCCCTGGAGTCCACCTCCCCCCTGCCGGAGCTCAGGTTGAGGGCCACGAAGCCTCCGCTGCTGGGTGCCCCCTCGCCTTGCTCCAGGGAGCCAGGGGAGTGAGGGGAGACAGGTTTGGACAAGCTACCGTTGGTGCCGCCACCAGATATGAACTCCTCGTCATAGTGCCAGACTCGGTCAGAGCCACCAGCTCGACCTAGCGCTGTGGCACCACCAGCGGGTACAGACAGACCCTGGCCCACCTCAGACCCCTTCTCCTGCTGCTGCTGCCCACAACCCTGCTGCTTCACTGAACTGAAGAGAGAGAGAGAGAGAGAGAGAGAGAGAGAGAGAGAGAGAGAGAGAGAGAGAGGAGAGAGAGAGAGAGAGAGAGAGAGAGAGAGAGAGAGAGAGAGAGAGACAGACAGACAGACAGACAGACAGACAGACAGACAGACAGACAGACAGACAGACAGACAGACAGACAGACAGACAGACAGACAGACAGACAGACAGACAGACAGACAGACAGACAGACAGACAGACAGACAGACAGACATTAACATGTTAGTCATTTGGCAGGTGTTCTTATGCAGAGCAACTTACAGTCAGGGCATTCAGACAAGACAGGACAGGAGTAGGGCTGTTGCAGTGACTGAATTACCTCCACACCTGCAGTCATGACCGCAGTCAAATTCCACATGACCGTTAAGTAACGGTAATCTCCTATGCGCTTTGACATGAATGGCGCTGATGCATTGGTAGTACCCAACTCGCTCACGACTGTCAGGTCACTAATGGGCTGGTACTCAGCGCTCTGTTGTCCCTCTAATCACTCTGACATCAATGCAAATACAATCGAAAATCACATCAAACACTTATCATCAAAACAGTATCATGCTTTTAAAACTCACTGTTAGGCTACATTGTTTGACCTCACTGTCATCGATCAATTTGAAGAAAGAAGTTCAACAGGTTGAAATCGAGTGGAAAACATGGTCGTTGTGGATGTTGTCTCAAAGCCAAACACAACAAAATGAACGCTTACTAAAGTGGTGATTCATTCAAAGCATTTAAGATGTTGCATGTAGAACACCCATATGCATATTAGACTTTCTGCATAAGCATAGGCCTATATGAGCCCAATCCTCTAAAAAAGCCTGAATTAAAATAATGATTGTGCTGTTATACAATAGCCTAATATACAAAAATCAACAAAACTCTGGTAATCACCTTTGAGTCTGGACTGTATTATTATGCATACTGGATGGACTGGTTACCTTATGCTACGCTCCAAATGTTCTATCCATGAGTCTGGGAGAGAACGTATAGGCCTAGGTGATGCTGTTGGTTCACTGATTGCGAAGGGCAGCTTACAGAGTAGTTAGCCTACAATTATAGTGAATTTGTTCATTCCTTTCTCGAGCGCGTAGAGATAGAGGGGCTGTCAACAGGTTAATAAAATATGTTTCGTTGTGAAAACATGTTACTACTATGTTCCTGAACAGATTTCACTTAGTTTCCCAAATGAAGCACTAGGTAGCTACAGGAGCTGGGTTGGAGAGTCAATGGCATACAGAGTTTAGGAGGAATATCACCTGTCGCGCAGTGAGAGGCTGCTCCTCAAGCAGTGATGCGTGGAGTGAAATAAGTGTTCTTATGAGCCCAGACATTTCTATATGCAATCCCGTGTGAAAGCAGAGTTTTGATGGTAGCAACTAAAAAGAGGAGGATTCCAGATTTCTACTGCTACTATATTTATTTCTCAGCAAAGTCCCATTCCTGGTTGTTAGTAATAGTGTGGAAGTATAGCGGTACAGGGGGTTAGTAAGGGTACTGACCATGCCTCCAGGAAGCGTTCTGGGCTGGGCTTGGCCTCTAGGGTCAACCTCCTGTCCAGCTCAAAGCTGTGGATGTTACGAAGCTTCCTGAGCAGAGGACCACCACCGTCCTGCCCTGAGGCCCCCACCATCTCAGAGTGTACCCGAACAGGAGAGCCCAGACTGGGGTTGGCGTATGGGCTCTGGGGACCCCCCTGGTTGTTGCTGTGCTCCTCCTCTGTGGCTGCCTGGTGGGGAGGAAACCAGGGGATGGAGTGGTAAGGGATATGGGTGTGTGTATACGTGTGTGTTTGTATGTGTGTGTGTGTGTGTGTGTGTGAGAGTGTGTGTGTGTATGTGTGTGAGTGTGTGTGAGTGTGTGTGTGTGTGTGTGTGTGTGTGTGTGTGTGTGTGTGTGTGTGTGTGTGTGTGTGTGTGTGTGTGTGTGTGTGTGTGTGTGTGTGTGTGTGTGTGTGTGTGCGTGTGTGTGGGTGTGTTCTTATGTGTTTGTGCATACCTTCCAGACAGCTGTCCTGATGCGGTTGCGGTCGCGGTCCAGCATCTCCCAAACGTCAGCTTCCTGGTTGGCCCGGGGCATGCTGGGGGATCCAGGGAGACGGTCTGGAGGAGGGTTGTTCTCCCCATTGTCACTGAGCTGCTCGTCCTGCAGCACGTCGTCTGTGTTCTCCCTCGCCAGGTCCCCAGGAACCAGGGACGCATTCGCCATTCTGGAATCATAGAGTAGATGTTACTCCGGTGTCACTAACTGACAGCAACAGGTAGATTCATCCATTCATTTATGCATTCATTCAACAGGTAGATGAATGAATTAATGAATTCTGTAAACAAGTTTACGTTTTTTTAGAACCAGTATGCGATTGTGAAAGAGACAAGAAACCCCTAAACCCTCAGCAGACCTTCAAACAGCTAATCCATGATTCCCAGTCTTTTACCCCATGTGTGCAGGCGTGAGGCGTGTGTGGTGCTGCGGTGTGGTGGCTGTAGCGTTGATGCTCAGAGTGCCATCAGACCCAGTCCTCTCCCAGTCATACGGGTCATTCTCCACCACGTTGTAGGTCTTCATACTGTTGTCAAATACTGACATCAGCAGCTACAACACAACAGAAAGTCACATGATGTCATATCCTGAGATACCTAAGGGCTTGTACAACATCACTGACTGACTGGCTGACTGATACTTGGTACTCCAACTAGAGGGATCAGACATTGGCAATCATTGCTATGACATTTTGAAGACAATCCAAGATTATGTAGGCAATCAGTCTTTCTGCAAAAAGACACTGAGTATACCAAACATTAGAAACACTTTCCTAATATTGAGTTGCGCACCCCACAGGGATGCTGGCACAGTTGTATCAAGTTGACCGGATGTCCTTTGGGTGGTGGAACATTCCTGATACACACAGGAAACTGTTGAGCGTGAAAAACCCAGCAGCATTGCAGTTCTTGACATAAACCAGTGCGCCTTGCACCTACTACCATACCCCGTTCAAAGGCACCTCTGAATGGCGCACATATACAATCCATGTCTCAATTGTCTCAAGGCTTAAAAATCCTTTAACCTGTCTCCTCCCATTCATCTACACTGATTGAAGTGGATTTAACAAGTGACATCTATAAGAGATCATAGCTTTCACCTGGATTCACCTGGTCAGTCTATGTCATGGAAAGAGCAGGTGTTCTTAATGTTTTGTACACTCAGTGTAGACAAATATTGACTGTGACTTACTGTATATTGACACAGGGAGCTAACACAGTGCTTAGTTCTAACAGTTAAAAGATACAGATACTGTATACACACACATGCAGTAGGTTAAGGGAGAACGATATGTCATGTTACCACCCGCCCACCCAACCACCCACCCACACACACACACACACACACACACACACACACACACACACACACACACACACACACACACACACACACACACACACACAGTTACCTGATAGTCTGGTTTGGTGAAGTAGTCCAGGTTAGAGATGTGATCCAGGAAGACAGTGAACTCAGCAGGCAGATGTTTCAGCATGAGCCTGTGGTCATAGGTGTCCTTCAGCTTCCCTACATGCTCCTGGGGAGGGTTCACACATGTTACAATGAAACGATTTTTATCTATGCACACAGGTGCATGAGTACATTCATATGCAGTGATGTCAGAGCTGTGACATGAGTTAGTGTTAGCTAAAGCTAACATTACCATTCCGAGTCATGTATGTCTGTATCTTGACTATTATTCCAGTAGAGACCGCTGATTGGTTGGTGTACAGGAAGGAATGTTCAAGCTAGACGCTTACCTTGTCTTTGATCTTTCTCCATGGCAACTGGCCAACCATGAACTCTACCAGCATGTAGAAGAGAGACCACAGGTCGTCATGCCGACCCATCTCCTTGTTCTTGTGTGCGTTGACGGACGCGTAGCGGACTGTACCTCTGAACCCTGCTACTGGTCGTGGCTGGGGGAGAAAGAGAGACTTCACAAGCTGCTGGACGACTAACATAGTAGGAACCTTACATGACAATAGCACACATTCAACAAACAGACAGCCAGTTTCCCGGACATTGATAGAAACCTAGTCCTGGACTAAAGAAACTATTTCAATTGAGATTCTCCATTAAGCATGCTTTTTAGTCTAGCACTGCACTTAATCTGTGTCCGGGAAACTGGCCCACATTGTCTAACCACACTCAACACCACAGACACTTACCGGTCGGACCTCTTGGCAGGAGTTTGTAAACTGGCGCGCTAGACCAAAGTCCAGCATGTAGCAGGTCCTACAGGTACTGGGAAAACGGCCCATGGCAAAGTTGGACTAGGAGAGAGAAGGGGAAAGAAGAAGGTAGTGAGATAGAGATCAAGAAAGAGAGAGAAAGGACTTAAATAACAACTATCATCTGATTCTCTTCACTATCACAGAAATACATCTCTTCTTTCCAAAAAGTCATACCTCCTCATAGGGCTATGGCGGTCATGGCATTTTGGCAGCCGGTTATTGTCATGCAAAAGACTGCAGGTCTCATGGTATTAATTAACATAAACACCTTTAGCATCTCCAGGCCTCCACACATACAAGCCGCATATGAGCCACTGATGAGCGCATTTGGAACATCTACAGTCTAATAAATCAATTGAATATACACTATCACAATAAATATTTTAGGCAGGTCTAAAGAAACATTATGATATGAAGAAAATGTATTTCAGAAGAACAGAATATGAGTTGGTCTACTGTATGTTATCTGGCTTGTTCATTTAGCAGACTAGATATGCTTATAAGTCCCGTGGCATTATTTTATATTCTATGATTTTATAGTAAGAAGAATATAATTGAACTTAGCTGAATAAAATAGAAAGGATATTTTTCCCATTCCGGAGCGAGTGTGCATATGAAGTGGCTATGTTGAGTGTAAAAGTGATCATTTTAAACAGGTCCTATATACTAGATTTAGAGTTATTTGGCTACTTTAGTTGTGAATGATACAAATCTTAGAATGTCTTAGAAATCAAAACATATATGGGCTGCATGAAACAGGTCCTCTGTAGCTCAGCTGGTAGAGCATGGTGCTTGTAACGCTAAGGTAGTGGGTTCGATCCCCGGGACCACCCATACACAAAAATGTATGCACGCATGACTGTAAGTCGCTTTGGATAAAAGCGTCTGCTAAATGGCATATTATATTATATTATATTATGCTATTGATGATTTGAGAAAGTAGCAAAAAAAGCTTGAGCTCTGTTCCTTGCCTCAGGCTGCACACGCTGTTCTCTCATCAAGTCAAAATATTCTCACCCATCAGACTATTCTCAATTAAATATTTTCTTTACTAATATGTAACATTAGTTTGGATTTAGAATGGTCCATTATCAAATGGGCAGGAACAGGGAAAAGAGAAAAAAGACGTCATCCGTATGCGCTCCTATAGCGAATGGAGGCCACTTTCCCGCCGGTTCATTTTTCACTCATGTCAGGTAGGTAGGCTACTCCGCTTATTTCGCCATGCGACAGGTGATATTCCGCCCAAACTCTGTATGCCATGGGCTCTCCAACCCTGTTCCTGCAGCTACGTAGTGCTTGATTTGGGAAACCAAGTAAAATCTGTTTGGGAACATCAAAATGCAACATGTTTTCACAAGAAACATATTTCATTAAACTGTTGACAGCCCTTCTCTCTGTGAGCTGGAGAAAGGAATGAAGGAGAGAGAGGTGGAGATGGAATGCACGGTGGTGAGATATTCTGTATCTAAAGGTAATGTGTCAGCCTATTAATTATGAAAATATAAAAAATGCCCTATTATTAGGCTATTCAAACTCAAATTAACTATAATTGTAGGCTAACTGAATTTGTTTATTTAGGCTAGACCAATTATGTACCAAAGACATCTTAAATCAGTATTTTATGTATGTTTTTCTGCCATGTGTAATATGCGGTAGGCTATGTATTGTATAACGGCACAATCATTATTTTAATTCAGGGTTTTCTACGGGCTTGGGCTCATATATACAGTAGGCTTATGCATATTGCGTATGCATAAGCTCTAATATGCATATGGGTGTTTTGAATTAATCATCACCTTAGAAAGCTATGTCCATTTCCTTGTGTTAGGCTTTGAAATAACATCCACAACGACCATGTTTTCCACTCAGTTTCAACCTGTTGTTGAACTTCTTTCTTCAAATTGATCAATCACATTGAGGTGAATTTTAAAAGCACATACTGTTTTGATGATAAGTGTTTGATGTGATTTTCAATTGCAATTGCATTGATGTCAGAGTGATTAGAGGGATCATAGAGCCCTGAGTACCAGACCATTAGCGACCTGATGGTCGTTAGCGAGTTAGGTACTACCAACGCATGTCCAGAGTGCATAAAAGGAGATTACCGTGACTCAACAGTCACCTAGAATTTTACTGCGGTCATGACTCATGACTGCCAGTGTGGCGTTAATACGGTCACCGCAACAGCCCTACCCCCACACACACACACACACCTCTGACACTCTGTCTCACCGGTTTGATGTCTCGGTGCAGGAAGCCAACAGAATGGATGCTCTCTATAGCTTCTAGTATCTGTCTGCCCAGTCTCAGGATGGTGCTGATTGTAAACGTGCCCCGCGTCATACTCCTCCGCAGGTCGGCCAGGTTACGACCCTGAAGCTCCATCACCACGTAGTTGAAGCGATCATTGCGGCCGCACCCAACAAAGCGACACACGTGGTCTTTACCTGGGGGAGAATAGAATACAATTAAAATGGAATAGAATAGATTTGATAAAATGATACAGCATAATCTAATCTCATTATCTAATCTCATAAATTGATACAGCATGTGTATATTTCTACTGGCCAGCCACTGTGCTCCACAGACCCTCCCCCCCACGCCCCATCCAGCCCACAGCTCGCCTCTGACAGCTTGCCTGTGGCCCATGCTGATTTATGGTGTGTGTGTGCTCATCTCAGGGGACCCTGCTGCAAAGCCAGACTCCGGCCACACCCTTCAGCACAGGGAGAGACCCCACTCTTCCTCTCTACTCTCCCATACACTCAATCTCTCACTACATTCTCGACCACATCTTCCCTATCCCTCGTCCTTTTCCTCCTCTCATTCCCAGCATCATTATATTTGACGGCATGCAAATACTTGAGAAGTGTGAGTGGGGATAGGCTTACCATACATGTTTTTTCTCCCCTAAGATAATCTACAAAGGCTTATTTTAAGCCTTTCAGTCGATGTCTGTTGAGAAAAAGAGGCTAGAAGAGACATGTTGGGGGATGGGAGGATGGGAAGAGTTGAGCACGTTTCAAGTTACATCCTCTTTCCCTCAGGATGCTATAGAACCACAATCCTCTAGCACACAACCATTAGACACACACACACACACACACACACACACATACTCACACACAACCATTAGAAAGCAAACATGATCCTTCCCAGACCATCGATTTTCGGGATCGAGAGAAAAAAAACTGACAGACGGGAAAAGGGCAGGAAGAAGGAAGAGAGGGAAAACAAGGAGAAGAAAAAAGAGAGCAGAGAGAGAAACAGAAAGACAGCGAGAGGGGAGAAGGGCAGGGAGGAGAGAGAGAGAGGAAGAAAGAAAAAGAAAACAAAATGCCCCCCAAATGAACTCCTCTCCTAATTGGTCTGTTGATCCTCTGCCTGCTATGAAGGAGGACTTTATCGGGAGTTTGATTTGAAGTCAGGCTAGGGTCTTACTATACACACCAGTAGTGATGCCCTTTTACACTCTGTGCCCTGTAGCCCACCTCCCATCACTTCCTTGTTTTCTCTCTCTCCATCTCTCTCTATTACCCTTCAGTGTCAGTATCCCCTTGCCTTATAAAATAGAGCATGTACCTTTAAGAAAATATAAATTCAATTTCTTGAGATTACATTAGGTTGAATGTCTACTTGACCATTGATTTTGGGTCAGGAAACGCGAGGTGAGTTAGGGCAGGAAGGAGGGTGGTTGAGGATAGACAGGAGTTGTGGTTACAGTGAGAGCAGAGGGGTTGTGGTTGAGTTAGGAGAGGGAGTGTGGTGAGTGCCAGACATGGGTCTTCGTAGTTTGGCGTGTTGTCTTGGCCTTGTTTGAAGGCAGGGATTGTTATTAGGGAGTTTGATGTTGAAGTAGGCATAGGGTTTGTTAGTTAGACAGTAGTGTGTTTTTACAGTTGTGTCCTGTAGCGCACTCTTCCTTGTTGTTTCGTTCTTTCATTTAGGCATTTTGTTGAGTTTAGGCAGGTTGGGTTGAAGTTTAGGCATGTTTTGAAATTAGGCATTTCTTGAGTTTACATTGGTTGAGTTTACTTGTGGTTATTTAGGTCGGGGGTTGTTGTAGGGCAGGTTGAGTTTAGGGCAGAGGTGGTTGAGTTTTGGGCAGGGAGTTTGTGGTTGAGGTTAGGACAGGGGGTTGTGGTTGAGTTTAGGGCAGGGGGTTGTGGTTGAGTTTAGGGCAGGGGGTTGTGGTTGAGTTTAGGGCAGGGGGTTGTGGTTGAGTTTAGGGCAGGGGGTTGTGGTTGAGTTTAGGGCAGGGGGTTGTGGTTGAGTTTAGGGCAGGGGGTTGTGGTTGAGTTTAGGGCAGGGGGTTGTGGTTGAGTTTAGTGTAGGGCAGGGGGTTTGTGGAGAGTTGTTTGGGAGGGGTGTGGTTGAGTGGGCAGGGGTGTGTTGAGTAGAGTTTAGGGTAGAGTGGGCAAGGGGCAGAAGCCAGAGGGCAGGTTAAGTGCAGGTAATTGCTGTCTTACCCTGGAGTTTCTTGAGGACGGCCACCTCCATCTTGAGGACCTGTTTGGGCTGCTGTGCTGACTCCACCTTCAGAGCAACACTGACCCTGGTCAGCAGGTCCAACGCCTCATAGATCTCCCCGAAGCCACCGCCACCAATCTTCTTTGCCTACACACATATCCCAAGGCAATACATCATGTGATAATGTGGAAAACATAGGCTTCATTACTTGATTTTTCAATCTTCCCATCACCCTTCCTCTTCCCAACTTCCCCTGCCCATTACCACAGACACATTTACATGTTTCTCCCTCTCTTATCAGTATACACACATACACACACACACATGAACACACACTTTCCCCACCCCCTACACACACACACACACAATCATGTGTGACAGAAGCAGCTCATCTCAAATGGATTAGCAGTGGCAGAGTTACGTAACATCAGCCCCTCAGTCAGTACTATACACAGGAAGTGGAGCCATGGCGCTGTACTTTGTTACTGCCTAGTACTCCTCCCAGGCGCAGTCCCAGCTACACTAACCTCACATGGCACCCTGTCCCTGGTGGCTCTGTGATGGCTGGGAGACACGGGCACACACACACTTGTGCAAGCACACACACACGCGCAAGCACACACACCCTCACTCAAGCACACACAAAAGTGCACACACACACCACGCCCTGGTGGAGTGGAGCGGACAGGGGGGGATTGGGCCAAGGCCTAGTGCTGGGAATAGCACACTGAGTGGCTACAAATAGCTACTCTGCTGCTATATTAAGTTCCACTCCACTTCGTGACAGAAAGCTGCATGTGCACTGCACACAAAGGGAGTTGACCCCAAACTGTCCAGGACAGCAGGTGAGATGGAGAAGATGGAGAAGATGGAGACATAGGGGAGAGTCTAAGCAATGTTTGGAGAGCAAAGATAGCCTTGTCGTGTTGAATTGGTGCTTGCTGAGGGGGTAAAAACATGGCATAACTTAACGGTGACACACACACACACATAGGCTCACACACACACACACTTACCACTTTCCATCGTTCCTTGACCAGGACAAGCACAGTTAGGATGTCAGCTTGCTCTGTTGCCGTAGCACTCATCCTGCCGGTGGTGGACTCACTGCTGCTCTCTTTGTGCTTCTTCCCCTGCTGCGACTCTTGCTACCTACGACCAGCCTTATTAGATTGGGCCGGGCATCAGGACCCTGTGGAATCCTAAACAACAGGCCAGGAGAGAGGCAGAACACACATAAGACCACCACCACAATCAATGTACTGCATGTTCCTCTATAAGCACTGGAAAGTAAAGTTCCAACACTTTTAGACCTAGCTTTGATTGAGGCTTCCTCTACTCGGGCTGCATATCATCCTCAAATAAAATCAAAATGGATTTATAAAGCCCTTTTTACATCAGCAGATGTCACAAAGTGCACATACATCTGTTGTTGATTTAAAGTGCTGTCTGGTATGCAGGAGGAATGTCAACTAGCCTGTGTAGATGATAGCTGATGGGCCTTATGAATGAAACCTGCATATTGAAAGTTGACTTCCTGGGTTGAGGAGCAGCCTAACTAAGCCTAGTTTGTGCTGCATGGCCTAAGTGCAGCTGCCACAACTGCTGCTCCTAGTTGTCTCATACAAGCTCTCTCTCAAGCCCACAGCACCACCACACAGCTCCACACACCCAGCAGACCCAAACACATGCTGATAGCAGCACCTCTAGCTTCACTCTTTAACATATCTATAGCTTACATATAACACATCTATAACATGTCTAACAACATATCTATAACATAACATAACCAAGTGATGAGCCATGTGTGTAATAACAAACCAAGTCAGGCCTATTTCAGTATTGACTTGACCAGTCACAGATGTGTAAAATATGCAGTCTTTGATCATTTGAATGCTTCCATGACTCTGCCGCTTTTCTGTCATAAAACACAAAACTGAGGATCAAGCCTAAACAGCTACATAATTTGACTTCAATGATATTGTCACAAGGAATTTTTTACAAATTATACTTTATTAGCAAACTCTTAAATGCGAAGCTTACTCAGTAGCTCTCGTCACGAACGTGCATGATTTAATTCACCTTATAAATTGTTCCCCCATATATCTAGTAATTAATTTATCCTAAATGTATATACTGTTGTTCTTTTCCTCTTTTGACAATATCATGAGTATTTACTGTGCGCAAGGCTAATTGTGTCGAGGAAAAGTTTGGTGAAGTCGCATTGTGACGCATTTCAGTTACATATTTAAATGCAGTATTTTACACTTTTTCAATCTTCCAAGTAGATGCGATGTTCAGAGGCACATGAACACTCGCTGCACTGAAAAGAAATAAGTTTGTTTATTTCCATATTTTAATGTGTTTGAAGTTCAGTTCCATGTCTTCTTGTCTGTCATGTCCGCAGAGTAGCATGCATTTAGTGTGGTGAACGCGCGCGGGTAAGCGGCTACATAATAGGTTTCGCTGCCTGTTGGCCTGCAGAACTATTATTATGAAATGTAGCTATATTCATTAATTGAAAGTATTCCTGCTTTGAGGATAAGCCAGGAATGTTTAAGAAACGAAATATGTAAATGTCGGTATAATGAAGATGCTGTTACATGATGTAATGCCATATTTGTGTAAAGAGCTCCATGGTTAATGGTATGGACCAGAGGGTGGGCCATAGGTCTCCAGGTAACTGTTCCACCTGTGAGCTTCAGTTGTTCTAGCTCTGGTATGTCATCTATGTGGGGAGGCTGTCCATAGCCTGGTATACCCCAACCTGCTATAGTTGGTTTGGCAGGGTAGGCCTGATTGAGGCTTAGGTTTTCCATTTATATTCAAACCTGTATTTTGAGAGTCTGTTCATTTTGTAAATACCTTTGTAGATAATGGAAAGGGGGATACCTAGTCAGTTGTACATCTGAATGCATTCAACTGAAATGTGTCTTCCGCATTTAACCCAACCCCTCTGAATCAGAGAGGTGCGGAGGGCTGCCTTAATCGACATCCACGTCTTCATCGCCCGGGGAATAGTGGGTTAACTGCCTTGCTCAGGGCCAGAATGACAGATTTTTACCTTGTCAGCTCTGGGATTCAATCCAGCAACCTTTCGGTTACTGGCCCAACGCTGACATCACAGTGTCAGTGTCTCCCCAGCACAGGAGCAATCCTGGGACAGGGGTGGGAAACGTCAGTAGAGCACAGGAACAGACACCGTTACATCACAGTGAAATCAAGACCATGACATCTGACACAACGTTGTTGACACGTTGTTGGAGTGGCAGCTCAGCAGCATCGCTCTCTCTGCTCACTCTCGCTATCTCTCTTTCTCTGTCCGTCTGTCTCTTTCTCTCTTTCTCTCTCACTCTGCCTCTCACTCTTTCTCTCTCGCTCTGTCTCTCTCTCACTCTGTCTCTCTCTCCCTCTCCCCCTCTCTCTCTCCCTCTCTCTCTCTCCCTCGCTCTCCTCTCCTTCAGACTGCAGAGGACAGCAGTCATGAAGTCAAAGCACCCCTCCATGGATGTCAGAAGCTTTTTTTAAGGACAAGGATAGTTCAAGTTCTAGATAAGTCTAGCAGAGTAGCATGCATTTAGTGTGGTGTAGTAATAGTAGAGAAAATATAAGTGTGTAAGTGGGAAAAGAGCGATCAGTGCAGAAGCAGCAGCACCCCAAAATGAATTCACACAGAGGGCCTAAAATGAACTGTCTGATGGTCAAAATAAGAAACATCCATCTTCTGCTAAAACCCTGAGGCAGGAAAGTTACACACAGTCAGGGAAACCCAACCCTGTCTCTGTGTGAGAAGCCACCAATATAACACACTCTGCAGTAGCCTAGCTTTCAAGGTCAAAGAGGCTTTTTTCCAATCTCCTCCCTCCTTGGAGTTTGATACATTTCTGTTAGAAAAGCAGCACTAGTTTTTACAGTGGAAGTAGTATCCTTTCTTCAATCTCTCCATCTGGGCCCATATAATAATAATTTATTACATTTGTAAAGCGCTTTTCATTATACAGAATAATCTCAAATTATTCATAAAGCATTATACAAAATAATCTCTGTATTTATAAAGCATCTCAGTGCTGATCTAGGATCAGTTTTGACTTTCAGATCATATTGAATAAGATTACAGTATCTGGATAGGGAGAAGCTGATCCTAGATCAGAACTCCTTCTTTGAGATGGTTTATGAATACAGGCCCAGAAAGCAGTCTGCTGCCTCAGAGCCAGTCCAGAACCACCCCACTCACCCAGCAGGTGGCTGGTCCACATGGTTGTGGAATGGATCCGAAATGGCACCCTATTCACTTTTAAGTGCACCACTTTTGCAAAAGTAGTGCACTATAGCCTATAGGGTATAGGGTGCCATTTGGGAAATATTTGTGTGACTCACTGATCATCACACCACTGCTGTTCTGATGCTTCTCAATGCAAATCATGAATCAGAATAACACACTGGTTGCACAGATTTGGTATTAGACCAGTCATCATAAATCTTTGACACCCATCTCAGTCTCGCCGTGAATCATGCTCTCTGACTCCATGGCGGTTGAACTATTTAAATGTGCTGCCTGCTGCACTGCTCTCCCACACATGTCAAGTCAACACGATAAATAGGACTCATTAAACTATGGGACACATCTCCCATGTTTGCTTTAATCTAATTCATTAGAGGGTGTTACAGCAGCCTCAGCCTGGCCCAGTGGACCAGAGACCCCCTCTATTGCTACGTCCCAAATGGCAACCTATTCCCTATATAGAGCCCGAGTTCTGGTAAAAAGTAGTGTACTACGTAGGGAATAGGGTGCCATTTGCGACGCCATCCTCTGGAGATGAAAGGAGTGAGTGTCTGATTCCCTAGCTGCTGCCGCTGCCATGGGCCTGGCTGTTCAGCCATCACTCTGTTTAAAGCCCTGGAGCCTAGCCAGCATGGGGATGGGATGGGGAGGCCTTGCTCCATCCCCGGCCAAGGCCGTTCCATCTTCCCTCAAAGAATGATGCTACAGTCCAGAGTGAATGGGCATGATAGTAGTGAATGATGTTGGGGTTCTGTCTCTCAATATCAGAACCTTACTACAGTACATGTAGCCTACTGTATTGATCAATGACTGGATAAAGCAGGTATTGATTGTGTGTAAGCCTCTGTATTGTAAAGTTTGCCTGTACTGTTGATAAGGTATTCTTCTCAACTAAGTTGTTCTGGATCTTGAATTAGGTGGCATAATAATCATGTAATGGCTAACATCTTTCTACACCATGTCAAGCTATGAATTAAGTACTGTACTCTTTGAGTGACAAAGCTGATGTGAAAAAACGTATTTGCATGTGGATTGTAGCTTCCTATACATCTCTCTCTCTCTCTCTCTCTCGCTCTCTCTCTCACACACACACACACACACACACACACACACACACACCAACACACATATATACACTAACACACATATATACACACACACACGTCAGTTTAACGTAACCATAGCATGAATGCGCATGACTCATAGGCAGCTGTTACAATGCAATAAATATGTAACTGGCTAATTAGGTGCTTGCAATGTGTCACCACCGCGCCTGTTGTTGCATAGCGAAGCTGCGTAATTAGCTAGCCTAGTGGATTTACGATTTCGTGTACACGCACAGTGTACACACGGGCTATGCTAGAGTGCCTCTTTGCATTGATTTAGCTATGGGGAAAACGTTGCGTTCTAGAATAGAATCGTACTGCATCTGGCTATGGAACGACCTTGGCTGCGATGCTACATTGCATCAGTCCTTTTAAAATGTAGCTAATGTGGCCTACTGCATCCCTGTATGTTGACATCAGCTAATGTTAGCTAGCTTTCAGTGTCATTATCTGATTGCATAGCAGCGGTGTCCATACCTTAGCCGCTCCGATCCTTGATCCGAAAGAAGCCGGGTGTGGTTACAAAAAAATCCTTTATGTTTGTCTTGATGGAATGTTGAGACATCGAGTGGAATTCCATAGTGGGTGCGTTATCCATCTGGTGTTGATTCTGCAGCTGATGTTCACACAAAGACATGTGAATTTAGCAGCAGGGATAATGAGTTTTATCTAATCGTCCCTTTTCTCCTTCTCTCTCACTGTCACCTCAGCATCTCTCTCTCGATCGCTACAGATCCGTGACGTGCTAGCTACTCTTCTCTGATGATCCGCCTGCCTGCCCGCGCGTTCACGATCCTATCACCCTCGCAACAGCTCGCTATGTGAACGAGCGTGGGCTTTAAGGCACTAGTGCACGCGTAATTATGATTCATGAGCGTGGCCGCGCCCAATATTCCCTAGTAATACATTTGTACATTGCGTATTTATTGGCCCGATAGGAGGTGTCCAGCCTTTAGTTACAATTACTAGCTCTTGCAAGTGTAGCCTCGTATTAGAATTTCACCCCCTCTATTATATTATATTATATTATATTATATTATATTTTCTTTCTTTCATTTGAATCAGGATTTTTTTCATCAATGAAGATCCAGATGTTACAGCATTGTAGATGTTGTTGCATAATCATGTATAAGCATACTGTTATGTGATAACAACATGCTTCCGCACAATATCATGTGTGCTTTGATATTGTCTCTCGGCCACAATTTATGAGTTATTGCATGAATAACCATCATTCACTGAGCATTTGCTAAAAGCTAAGCATTAGATTTGTAAGAGTAAAATACTTCAAACGAGCACGAAGAGGATGTTAAAAACTGCTCATTTAGATTTGGAGCCAATCCCAAACAATTACATCTCAACCTCTAATTCTTGCCACTTGATTATTGCTGATCTATAAATAAGTATTAGGAACGGGCATGTGCTAGGTTTTCTCACATGTTACTTACACCTATCTAGTTGTGTACGTACACTACCGATCAAAAGTTTTAGAACACCTACTCATTCCAGGGTTTTTCTTTATTTTTACTATTTTCTACACTGTAGAATAATAGTGAAAACATCAAAACTATAACACATATGGAATCATGTGATAACCAAAAAAGTGTTAAACAAATAACAAATATATTACATATTTTATATTCTTCAAATAGCCACCCTTTGCCTTGATGACAGCTTTGCACACTCTTGGCATTCTCTCAACCCAGCTTCACCTGGAATGCTTTTCCAACAGTCTTGAAGGAGTTCCCACATGCTGAGCACTTGTTGGCTGCTTTTCCTTCACTCTAAGGGTCCGACTCATCCCAAACCATCTCAATTTGGTTGAGGTCGGGGGATTGTGGAGGCCAGGTCATCTGATGCAGCACTCCATCACTCTCCTTTTTGGTAAAATAGCCCTTACACAGTCTGGAGGTGTGTTGGGTCATTGTCCTGATGAAAAACAAATGATAGTCCCACTAAGCCCAAACCAGATGGGATGGCATATCGCTGCAGAATGCGGTGGTAGCCATGCTGGTTAAGTGTGCCTTGAATTCTAAATACATCACAGACAGTGTCACCAGCAAAGCACCCCCACACCATAACACCTCCTCCTCCATGCTTTACGGTGGGAAATACACATGTGGAGATCATCCGTTCACCCACACCGTGTCTCACACGAGCAATGGACATTAAACCGGTTGGAACCAAAAATCTCCAATTTGGACTCCAGACCAAAGGACAAATTTCCACCGGTCTAATGTCCATTGCTCGTGTTTCTTGGCCCAACAAGTCTCTTCTTCTTATTACATTTTACGTCATTTAGCAGATGCTCTTATCCAGAGCAACTTACAGTTAGTGAATATATATATATATATATATATATATATATTTTTTTTATACTGGCCCCCCGTGGGAATCGAACCCACAACCCTGGCGTTGCAAACGCCATGCTCTATCAACTGAGCTACATCCCTGCCGGCCATTCCCTCCCCTACCCTCGACGACGCTGGGCCAATTGTGCGCCGCCCATGAGTCTCCCGGTCGCGGCCAGCTGCGACAGAGCCTGGATTCGAACCAGGATCTCTAGTGGCACAGTTAGCACTGCTATGCAGTGCCTTAGACCACTGCGCCACTCAGTGGTCTAAGGCACTGTCCTTTAGTAGTGGTTTCTTTGCAGCAATTCACAGTCTCCTCTGAACAGTTGATGTTGAGATGTGTCTGTTACTTGAACTCTTTGAAGCATTTATTTGGGTTGCAATTTCTGAGGCTGGTAACTCTAATGAACTTATCCTTTGCAGCAGAGGTAACTCTGGTTCTTCCATTCCTGTGGCGGTCCTCAAGAGAGACAGTTTCATCATAGCGCTTGATGGTTTTTGCGACTGCACTTGAAGAAACTTTCAAAGTTCTTGAAGTGTTCCGTATTGACTGACCTTCATGTCTTAAAGTAATGATGGACTGTCATTTCTCTTTGCTTATTTGAGCTGTTCTTGCCATAATATGGACTTGGTCTTTTACCAAATAGGGCTATCCCCCCCCTCACACACACACACACCTTGTCACAACAACTGATTGGCTCAAACGCATTAAGAAAAAAGAAATTCCACAAATTAACTTTTAAGAAGGCACACCTGTTAATTGAAATGCATTCCAGGTGACTACCTCATGAAGCTGGTTGAGAGTACAGTGATGAGAATGTCACTTCGTATCTTGTAGGAGTACGGTTAGTAAATGAGGAGCAGCTGATCGAATTACCAATCTTGAAGAATCCACTTGAGATATCCAAACTGGTGGAGAGAGTGCTGGGTAGAGTGAAGGCTGTGAGGCTCACGAGAGGCGGGCTGGTGTTTTTTCAGGTCCTAGAGCCTGTGAAGGGAGATATGGAGAATTGAAAGAAGGAAGAAGTGGGAGTTTTGTTTTGTTTTGTCAATGTATAATTTTATTTGGATGGATTAAGTTAGTTTTCCTAACGCCTATTGATTTTATTTTTACCTTGTTTTGGATTCAGCCCGTCCAGTTGGTGGCGGCAATACATATTTTTGGGTTGTAGTCCGCCATAAAACCCACAGAATAAGAAGAAGAATTTCTGGGAGTGATTCATATAGCGATGACGTAGCCATGCACAACCGGTCAGTATGGTATTTCCTTTTAGCTAGCTATTTCAAAACATAATCTGAAAGGACAAAGTTTCGTGTGTAGCTCGATCTGGCTATGATCGCAAATGGAAATCGAACGGTCTGAATGGCCAGCGGTTCAATGTAGCTAGTAGCTAATATAGCTAGCATAGTCTAGTGTGTGTTCATGTTGCTCTCGCCTGTATTCTGTCCAGTAGATTCCCACCGCTCTCTCGTCACTACAGGATGCTCAAGCTCTTCGGAGCGCTAGTTCTTTTCGGACTAGCGCTGGCGTGCTTAGCTTCCTGGGTGCTAGAGAGCTATGACACCTCTTGGCACCCCAAACGGAGTGTTCGGCAGTTCATCGCCGGGGATGGAGAGAAGGCTAGTAGGACCAGTCTTCCTCCGTATCCCGGCGGCGAATTGGATAACATATTCTGGTTCGTGCAGGTGAGTGGATCCAGCTGCTAACTCATTTGGCTAACTAAGTGTTGTCACTGTCACTGTCAGTGTCAATTGTCACTATCAATTGTCAGGGTGACAGCTGTTAGCGAGTAAGTAGACCAAAGGGTAGTAGTGTTCATGTAAAAATCTACACTGAATGGGGTCACAGTCCAATTTCCTTTTTGGGTGCTATGCTGTCATGCATAGACAAAGTTGGCACCAGCCAGCCATCAGGTTGTAAGACTTTGAACCCAGTTGTAGTAATACGTCTGTAGAGAGGATATACCAAGTGGAATATGTTGTCAAAACTAGCTAGATGCCCTAGTTTGTGCTTTCAACCCCTGAATGATGTCCTGTACCCGCACAGGTGTCTGACATTCATATCAGTCGATTCCATGACAAAAAACGAATTCCAGACTTCGAGAAGTTCTGCACTGATACCATTGAAGTGATCCAACCTGCTCTTGTGCTCGCAACAGGTATGTCGGACATTGCTTCTTGCTCATTAGTTTTGTAGCAGCCCCCAACATGTCAGCTTGCTGAGTTTCTGCACTATCACAAGAGCAACCATGAACCTGAAGTGAGTTATTATTTCTCATAAGTCTGTCTGTCTGTTCCTCTGTCTGCCCACCTAACAGGAGACCTGACGGATGCGAAGACGGAGAGCAAGGTGGGCTCCCTGCAGCATGAGGTGGAGTGGCAGGCCTATCACAACATCCTGAAGAGGTCCCGGGTTCTGGAACGCACCAAATGGATTGACATCCGTGGAAACCATGGTGACTAATATAATATACCTCCTCTAATATTCTCTTACACTTAATGATTTCTATAATCGAAAAATAATTGTGGTCCTATGAACAGGGTTGATAGATGGGTATGGAATTGGGTCGTAAATGTCTAGAAATGTACAAAGCCAGTCAGTTGAATTGGACTTGGTCAGACGTACACTACCGTTCAAAAGTTTGCGGTCACTTAGAAATGTCCTTCTTTTTGAAAGAAAAGCAATTTTTTTGTCCATTAAAATAACATCAAATTGATCAGAAATACAGTGTAGACATTGTTAATGTTGTAAATGGCTATTGTAGCTGGAAACGGCTGATCTTTAATGGAATATCTACAGTTGAAGTCGGAAGTTTACATACACTTAGGTTGGAGTCATTAAAACTCGTTTTTCAACCACTCCACACATTTCTTGTTAACAAACTATAGTTTTGGCAAGTCGGTTAGGACATGTACTTTGTGCATGACACAAGTAATTTTTCCAACAATTGTTTACAGACAGATAATTTCACTTATAATTCACTGTATCGCAATTCCAGTGGGTCAGAAGTTTACATACACTAAGTTGACTGTGCCTTTAAACAGCTTGGAAAATTCCAGAAAATGATGTCATGGTTTTAGAAGCTTCTGATAAGCTAATTAACATCATTTGAGTCAATTGGAGGTGTACCTGTGGATGTATTTCAAGGCCTACCTTCAAACTCAGTGCCTCTTTGCTTGACATCATGGGAAAATCAAAAGAAATTAGCCAAGACCTCAGAAAAAAAGTTGTAGACCTCCACAAGTCTGGTTCATCCTTGGGAGCTATTTCCAAACGCCTGAAGGTACCACGTTCATCTTTACAAACAATAGTACACAAGTATAAACACCATGGGACCACGCAGCCATCATACTGCTCAGGAAGGAGATGCATTCTGTCTCCTAGAGATTAACGTACTTTGGTGCGAAAAGTGCAAATCAATCCCAGAACAACAGCAAAGGACCTTGTGAAGATGCTGGAGGAAACAGGTACAAAAGTATCTATATCCACAGTAAAACAAGTCCTATATCGACATACTCCCGAGTGGCGCAGTGGTCTAAGGCTGCCACTAGAGATCCTGGTTCGAATCCAGGCTCTGTCGTAGCCGGCCGCAACCGGGAGACCCATGGGGCGGCGCGCACAATTGGCCCAGCGTCGTCCAGGGTAGGGGAGGGATTTGGCCGGCAGGGGATGTAGCTCAGTTAGTAGAGCATGGCGTTTGCAACGACAGGGTTGTGGGTTCGATAAAATAATGTATGCACTAACTGTAAGTCGCTCTGGGTAAGAGCGTCTGCTAAATGACTAAAATGTAAATGTAAATGTATAACCTGAAAGGCCGCTCAGCAAGGAAGAAGCCACTGCTCCAAAACCGCCATAAAAAAGCCAGACTATGGTTTGCAACTGCACATGGGGACAAAGATTGTACTTTTTGGAGAAATGTCCTCTGGTCTGATGAAACAAAAATATAACTGTTTGGCCATAATGACCATCGTTATGTTTGGAGGAAAAAGGGGGTAACTTGCAAGCCGAAGAACACCATCCCAACCGTGAAGCACAGGGGTGGCAGTATCATGCTGTGGGGGTGCTTTGCTGCACGAGGGACTGGTGCACTTCACAAAATAGATGGCATCATGAGGAAGGAAAACTATGTGGATATATTGATGCAACATCTCAAGACCAGTTAGGAAGTTAAAGCTTGGTCGCAAATGGGTCTTCCAAATGGACAATGACCCCAAGCATACTTCCAAAGTTGTGGCAAAATGGCTTAAGGGCAACAAAGTCAAGGTATTGGAGTGGCCATCACAAAGCCCTGACCTCAATCCTATAGAAAATGTGTGGGCAGAACTGAAAAAGTGTGTGCGAGCAAGGAGGCCTACAAACCTGACTCAGTTACACCAGCTCTGTCAGGAGGAATGGGCCAAAATTCACCCAACTTATTGTGGGAAGCTTGTGGAAGGCTGCCCGAAACGTTTGACCCAAGTTAAACAATTTAACGGCAATGCTACCAAATACTAATTGAGTGTATGTAAACTTCTGACCCACTGGGAATGTGATGAAAGAAATAAAAGCTGAAATAAATCATTCTCTCTACTATTATTCTGACATTTCACATTCTTAAAATAAAGTGGTGATCCTAATTTACCTAAAACAGGGAATTTTTACTAGGATTAAATGTCAGGAATTGTGAAAATCTGAGTTTAAATGTATTTGACTAAGGTGTATGTAAACTTCGGACTTCAACTGTACATAGGCGTACAGAGGCCCATTATCAGCCACCATCAGTCCTGTGTTCCAATGGCACGTTGTTTGCTAATCCAAGTTTATCATTTTAAAAGGCTAATTGATCATTAGAAAACCCTTTTGCAATTATGTTAGCACAGCTGAAAACTGTTGTGCTTATTAAAGAAGCAATAAAACTGGCCTTCTTGAGATTAGTTGAGCATCTGGAGCATCAGCAATTGTGGGTTCGAATACAGGTTCAAAATGGCCAGAAACAAATAACTTTCTTCTGAAACTCGTCAGTCTATTCTTGTTCTGAGAAATGAAGGCTATTCTATGCGAGAAATTGCCAAGAAACTGAAGATCTTGTACAACGCTGTGTACTACTCCCTTCACAGAACAGTGCAAACTGGCTCTAACCAGAATAGAAAGAGGAGTGGGAGGCCCCGGTGCACAACTGAGCAAGAGGACAAATACATTAGTGTCTAGTTTGAGAAACAGGCGCCTCACAGGTCCTCAACTGGCAGCTTCATTAAATAGTACCCGCAAAACACCAGTCTCAACATCAACAGTGAAGAGGCGACTTCGGGATGCTGACCTTCTAGGCAGAGTTGCAAAGAAAAAGCCATATCTCAGACTGGCCAATAAAAAGAAAATATTAAGTTGGGCAGTCTGAGAAATGGCTTTTTCTGACCCCAAACTTTTGAACGGTAGTGTATACAGTCTTAGAAAAAAGGGTTCCAAAAGGGTTCTTCGGCTATCACCGTAGAACACTTTGAAGAACCCTTTTTTGTTCAAGGTAGAATCATTTTTGGTTCCATATAGAACCCTCTGTGGAAAGGGTTCTACCTAAAACCAAAAGGGTTCTACCTGGAACCAAAAAGGGTTCTTCAAAGTGTTCTATGGGGACAGCCGAATAACCCTTGTAGGTTCTAGATTGCACCTTGTTTTCTAAGAGTGTAGAATATGGAAAGAATCCACAAACCTACAGATATGTGCATTCTTTGTGCATTTTACCTCAAAGCTGAAAAGCTGAGCAGTCAGTCACTTCACTGCTTAATGCCCCTTCCATTGATATTGAATTACAAATGCTATTAGTGTTGAAACAAGATATCTCCTACAGCCTAACTGTCCACCTTAACCTATTGTTAGAAGCTGCTTCAAAGAACCTTTCTCTGGTAGACATTAGTTCAGTACAGAATAGATTGGACATGTAGGCTATGTGAGTTCCTGTTGTTTCTGGTAAGGATAGATATTAATCAATCAACAGGATGAGGGAATTAATACCAAGGTTAGATACCTTTGCCAGAAGATGGTATGTGTTCATTACGTTTTGCAAGGTCTCTCTTACTTAGCTACATTCCTGTTTTTATTATGTTTCTGACAGATGCCTTCAATATCATTTCATTGGATAGTGTCAACAACTACTACAGGTCAGTGTTCACTCTTGCCTGCTATGTCTGGAATGAATGTTATTTACATGTGTCAAAGATACACAGTAGGCCCCTCAAGCTGAACTCTGGACCTCGAAGCCAGTTCCACTGCGATTTTTCATTGTTCCCCTCTAACCAGGGACTGATTTAGACCTGGGACACCAGGTGGGTGCAATTAATTATCAGGTAGAACAGAAAACCAGCAGGTTCCGGACCTCGTAGGGTAAGAGTTGAATACCCCTGCGAGTAGGCCATATGATGAGTGTCACTTTGATTCATGTTCAGAAACTCCTACTAGCTATATGACAAGCTTTCTAGCAACCAGCTCTCTTAGCCACCAGTGTAGCTAGTGTGAGTGAGTTGCCTCTCTGTGTTCGCTTGTCTGTGCAACATGAGCACTAGAGACTTATTGACATTTATTCTAGCTATCTGAGCTACACTACCAGTCAAAAGTTTGGACACACCTACTCATTCAAGGGTTTTTCTTTATTTTTAATTTTTTTTACATTGTAGAATAATAGTGAAGACATCAAAACTTTGAAATAACACATATGGAATCATGTAGTAACCAAAAAAGTGTTAAACAAATCAAAATATATTTTTATATTTGAGATTCTTCAAATAGCCACCCTTTGCCTTGATGACAGCTTTGCACACTCTTGGCATTCTCTCAACCAGCTTCATGAGGTAGTCACCTGGAATTCATTTCAATTAACAGGTGTGCCTTGTTAAAAGTTAATTTGTGGAATTTATTTCCTTCTTTATGCGTTTGAGCCAATCAGTTGTGTTGTGACAAGGTAGGGGGGTATACAGAAGCTAGCCCTATTTGGTAAAAATACCTCAAATAAGCAAAGAGAAACGACATTCCATCATTACTTTAAGACATGAAGGTCAGTCAATACGAAACATTTCAAGATCTTTGAAAGTTTCTTCAAGTGCAGTCGCAAAAACCATCCAGCGCTATGATGAAACTGGCGCTCATGAAGACCGCCACAGGAATAGACCCAGCGTTACCTCTGCTGCAGAGAATAAGTTCATTAGAGTTACCAGCCTCAGAAATTGCAGCCCAAATAAATGCTTCACAGAGTTCAAGTCACAGACACAGCTCAACATCAACTGTTCAGAGTGGACTGTGTGAATCAGGCCTTCATGGTCGAATTGCTGCAAAGAAACCACTACTAAAGGACATCAATAAGAAGAAGAGACCTGCTTGGGCCAAGAAACACGAGCAATGGACATTAGACGCGGTGTGGGTGAACGGATGATCTCCGCATGTGTAGTTCCCACCGTAAAGCATGGAGGAGGAGGTGTTATGATGTGGGGGTGCTTTGCTGGTGACACTGTCAGTGATTTATTTAGAATTTAAGGCACACTTAACCAGTATGGGTACCACAGCAGTCTCCAGTGATATGCCATCCCATCTGGTTTGGGCTTAGTGGGACTATCATTTGTTTTTCAACAGGACAATGACCCAACACACCTCCAGGCTGTGTAAAGGCTATTTGACCAAGAAGGAGAGTGATGGAGTGCTGCATCAGATGACCTGGCCTCCACAATCCCCCGACCTCAACCCAATTGAGATGGTTTGGGATGAGTCGGGCCACAGAGTGAAGGAAAAGCAGCCATCAAGTGCTCAGCATATGTGGGAACTCCTTCAAGACTGTTGGAAAAGCATTCCAGGTGAAGCTGGTTGATAGAATGCCAAGAGTGTGCAAAGCTGTCATCAAGGCAAAGGGTGGCTATTTGAAGAATCTCAAATATAAAATATATTTTGATTTGTTGAACACTTTTTTTGGTCACTACATGATTCCATATGTGTTATTTCATAGTTTTGATGTCTTCACTATTTTACAATGTGGAAAACAGTACAAATAAAGAAAAACCCTTGAATGAGTAGGTGTGTCCAAACTGTTGACTGGTACTGTGTGTATATATAAAGCTATCTAAAGCTATAAATAGATGGACACATACAGTTCACAAGCTATATTCTACAGCAGCGTTTCCCAAACTCAGTCCTCTGGACCCCAAGGGGTGCACGTTTTAGTTTTTGCCCTAACACTACACAGCTGATTCAAATGATCAAAGCTTGATGATGAGTTGATTATTTGAATCAGCTGTGTAGTGCTGGGACAAAGACCAAAACGTGGGAAACCCTACTGTACAGTATAAAGACAGTTGCTAGCTCACTCTCCAAATATTAACCTCTTTTTGAGACAGTCTCTCAAAATATGACATCGGTCTTGTGTCTGTATGGTATTTGTTGAGGTTTGTTCGTCATCAGTTTAAATAAACAGGTTCTCCACTTCATCATAAAACAAGGCAGAGGTGTTGAGAGCAACATGTACACCACACTGTATGCATTCACCAACTCAGCCGCATAATAATGATGCCTGTTATTATTCCCAGGAAGTACTCAGCCAATCAGAAAGTTGGCTCCTTCCACTATGTCCACAAGACTCCCTTCGGCAACTACTCCTTCATCTGTGCTGATGCAACCATCACCCCTGGACCCAAGCGGCCGTACAACTTCTTTGGCATTCTCAACCAGGTACAGTATGCCCCCCCACCAGCTTAACACCAGCCTGGTCCCATATGTTTGGCATGACAAAAAACCATATGAGTTGGCTATACAATACAGCACAAACCGATCTGGTACCAGGCTAGCGCAACACAGCTGAATACGTTTTCTACTCTACTCTATTCCTACTCTGTCATTCATTTAGACATAAGACTGAGACATTACAGTCTATTTGCATAATCACTTGTTATGTTCTTATGCAACACCATACATTACAGACTCAGATGGACCTGTTGGCGTCCTTCAGGACTGAGAGCCACAGCAGCAACCAGACCATCTGGTTTGGCCATTACACCACTTCAACGGTCATCTCCCCCGCTCCAGGGGTGAGAGGGGTGATGAGGTAACAGAAGTGTGTGTGTGTGATGAGATAACAGAATAATGTTTGTGGGTTTCTATAAGCCTGTCTTCATGTTAGTCTGCCTCTCTAATTTCAACACCCTCTAAACAGGTTTTGGATAATAACTAGTATACTGTTTTGGTTGTTATAACAGTTCTGACATAGGTCATGGTATATTTATAACATAGTTAATAGCGTAGTGGAAATGGTAAAAGAAGGTTCTGGAAGGCCATTCAATTATTTATTGCAGACACATTTTGGAACAAGCTCCTTCTTTAAAGCACTATTGCAACACAGTATCAGAATGTTATACATACTTAATAGCATAGTTTTTGAATCCAGTTTGTTAGTTGAGATTTTTGTACCATATACAGTACCAGTCAAAAGTTTTGACACACCTACTCATTCAAGGGTTTTTCTTTATTTTTACATTGTAGGATAATAGTGAAGACATCAAAACTATGAAATAACACATGGGATCATGTAGTACCAAAAAAAGTGTTAAACAAATCAAAATATATTTTATATTTGAGATTCTTCAAATAGCCACCCTTTGCCTTTGCCCACATATGCTGAGCACTTGTTGGCTGCTTTTCCTTCACTCTGCAGTCCGACTCATCCCAAACCATCTCAATGGGGTTGAGGTTGGGGATTTGTGGAGGCCAGGTCATCTGATGCATCACTCTCCTTCTTGGTAAAATAGCCCTTACACAGCCTGGAGGTGTGTTGGGTCATTGTCCTTTTGAAAAACAAATGAAAGCCCAAACCAGATGGGATGGCGTATCGCTGCAGAATGCTGTGGTAGCCATGCTGGTTAAGTGTGTAAATAAATCACAGACAGTGTCACCAGCAAAGCACCCCCACACCATAACACCTCCTCCTCCATGCTTTACGGTGGGAACTACACATGCAGAGATCATCTGTTCACCCACACCGCGTCTCACAAAGACACAGCGGTTTGAACCAAAATTCTCACATTTGGACTCCAGACCAAAGGACACATTTCCACCGGTCTAATGTCCAATGCTCGTGTTTCTTCTTCTTATTGGTATCCTTTAGTAGTGGTTTCTTTGCAGCAATTCGACCATGAAGGCCTGATTCACACAGTCCCCTCTGAACAGTTGATGTTGAGATGTGTCTGTTTCTTGAACTCTGTGAAGCATTTATTTGGGCTGCAATTTCTGAGGCTGGTAACTCTAATGAACTTATCCTCTGCAGCATAGGTAACTTTGGGTCTTCCATTCCTGTGGCGGTCCTCATGAGAGCCAGTTTCATCATAGCCCTTGATGGTTTTTGCGACTGCACTTGAAAAAAGTTGTTGAAATATTCAGTATTGACTGACCTTCATGTCTTAAAGTAATGATGGACTGTCGTTTCTCTTTGCTTATTTGAGCTGTTCTTGCCATAATATGGACTTGGTCTTTTACCAAATAGGGTTATCTTCTGTATACCCCCCTACCTTGTCACAACACAACCGATTGGCTCAAACGCATTAAGGAAAGAAATTCCACAAATTAACTTTTAAGAAGGCACACCTGTTAATTGAAATGCATTCCAGGTGACTACCTCATGAAGCTGGTTGAGAGAATGCCAAGAGTGTGCAAAGCTGTCATCAAGGCAAAGGGTGGCTATTTGAAGAAATTCAAATAAAATATATTTTGATTTGTTTTACACGTTTTTGGTTACTACATGATTCCATATGTGTTATTTCATAGTTTTGATGTCTTCATTATTATTCTATAATGTAAAAAATTGTAAAATTAAAGAAAAACCCATGAATGAGTAGGTGTGTCCAAACTTTTGACTGGTAGTGTACATCTGTGATGTAATTGTTACCGATGCGTGCGTGTAGCTCGGCTGTAGCGTACCTGTGTGGTCACCTTCACACTCTGGGTGGCCTGATGCCTGTACTACACAGCAGACACCCCGAGGGCACCCTGGAACTGGAGCTAGGCGACTGGATGGACAATCGCAGGTAAATCTATAGATGCATCATACTTTCTACACACTCACTCGCTCACTCACTCGGACTCAAACAAACACATACACCTTGAGTTGTGGTCTGTTTAAATTGTGCTATCCAAATAAAGTTTATACACACACACGTACACAACACTGATATATTCATTTTCTCTCGCTCTCTCTCTCTCTCTCCTCTCTCTCTCTCCTCTCTCTTCTCTCTCCAGGTACAGAGTGCTGGCGTTTGACCATGACCTGCTGAGTTTCATGGACCTGAAGTTTCAGCAGTGGCCTGCAGTACTCATCACCAACCCCAAGGAGGCGCAGTACCTCCATCCGGGAGTGGAGCCGCTAGGGAGGATACAGAGCTCTACCCACATCAGGTGTCCCCTCCTCAACCCTAAACCCCATGCCATGACCTCTAACCTCTGACCTACACCACCATACAGAATCACCATCACCCACTCTGCCTTTTTACACACCTACCATAAATATACCACCTATCTCTATATCTCTATTCCATAAAACGATCACCCTTTTCACACTACTGGGCCGAACTGAGCTGCCCCAGTTGCTGGAACTGTGCTGGACAGGGTAATGTGAAAAGAAAATATCGTAACCTGCACTGTACAATTTAGGTCAGCACAATAGTGTGAAAAGGTTCTAAATCACCTTCATCACCTATCTCCATACCACAAAGTTTGCCAACAGTATTTCATATTGGCTCACCTGTCTCTGCAGATGTGTGTGATGATCTTCCCCTATCATCCTGTATTCTAACCCTGGTCTCTCTGGTCCCCTCAGGATCCTGGCCTTCTCTGATGCCCCGGTCACAGCAGTTCATGTCAGTGTGGACGGGGTGGAGATGGGTAAAGGCCGGTCTACTGGAGGTCCTATGTATGTGGTGCCATGGGAACCCTCTCTCTACCTTACTGGGCTGCACACTGTCACTGTCAAAGTGGAGGTAACACAGCACTTATTACCTCATACAGTGGGGGAAAAAAGTATTTAGTCAGCCACCAATTGTGCAAGTTCTCCCACTTAAAAAGATGAGAGAGGCCTGTAATTTTCATCATAGGTACACGTCAACTATGAAAGACAAAATGAGAAAAAAAATCCAGAAAATCACATTGTAGGATTCTTTATGAATTTATTTGCAAATTATGGTGGAAAATAAGTATTTGGTCAAAAACAAAAGTTTCTCAATACTTTGTTATATACCCTTTGTTGGCAATGACACAGGTCAAACGTTTTCTGTAAGTTCACAAGGTTTTCATACACTGTTGCTGGTATTTTGGCCCATTCCTCCATGCAGATCTCCTCTAGAGCAGTGATGTTTTGGGGCTGTCGCTGGGCAACACAGACTTTCAACTCCCTCCAAAGATTTTCTATGGGGTTGAGATCTGGAGACTGGCTAGGCCACTCCAGGACCTTGAAATGCTTCTTACGAAGCCACTCCTTCGTTGCCCGGGCGGTGTGTTTGGGATCATTGTCATGCTGAAAGACCCAGCCACGTTTCATCTTCAATGCCCTTGCTGATGGAAGGAGGTTTTCACTCAAAATCTCACGATACATGGCCCCATTCATTCTTTCCTTTACACGGATCAGTCGTCCTGGTCCCTTTGCAGAAAAACAGCCCCAAAACATGATGTTTCCACCCCCATGCTTCACAGTAGGTATGGTGTTCTTTGGATGCAACTCAGCATTCTTTGTCCTCCAAACACGACGAGTTGAGTTTTTACCAAAAAAGTTCTATTTTGGTTTCATCTGACCATATGACATTCTCCCAATCCTCTTCTGGATCCTCCAAATGCACTCTAGCAAACTTCAGACGGGCCTGGACATGTACTGGCTTAAGCAGGGGGACACGTCTGGCACTGCAGGATTTGAGTCCCTGGCGGCGTAGTGTGTTACTGATGGTAGGCTTTGTTACTTTGGTCCTAGCTCTCTGCAGGTCATTCACTAGGTCCCCCCGTGTGGTTCTGGGATTTTTGCTCACCGTTCTTGTGATCATTTTGACCCCACGGGGTGAGATCTTGCGTGGAGCCCCAGATCGAGGGAGATTATCAGTGGTCTTGTATGTCTTCCATTTCCTAATAATTGCTCCCACAGTTGATTTCTTCAAACCAAGCTGCTTACCTATTGCAGATTCAGTCTTCCCAGCCTGGTGCAGGTCTACAATTTTGTTTCTGGTGTCCTTTGACAGCTCTTTGGTCTTGGCCATAGTGGAGTTTGGAGTGTGACTGTTTGAGGTTGTGGACAGGTGTCTTTTATACTGATAACAAGTTCAAACAGGTGCCATTAATACAGGTAACGAGTGGAGGACAGAGGAGCCTCTTAAAGAAGAAGTTACATGTCTGTGAGAGCCAGAAATCTTGCTTGTTTGTAGGTGACCAAATACTTATTTTCCACCATAATTTGCAAATAAATTCATGAAAAATCCTACAATGTGATTTTCTGGAAAAAAAATTCTCAATTTGTCTGTCATAGTTGACGTGTACCTATGATGAAAATTACAGGCCTCTCATCTTTTTAAGTGGGAGAACTTGCACAATTGGTAGCTGACTAAATACTTTTTCCCCCCACTGTATATGTTCTATTATATAGAAATTCTAAGAGGTTGTCAAATATTTTGAATAGTAGTTCAAAAGTTCTCAGATGTTTTCTCAGATAGCTACCAGATGTTTTGTTACTAGTTCAGGTGATGTGATGAGATGTGGCCTCTCTTATTCTGAGTGTGTGTGTGTGTGTTTGTGTGTTAGGACGCGGTGGGGCGGTCGACGGTTCGAGAACAGCTCTTCACCCTCGAAGAGGACCTCTCCCCCAGCTTTGGTTTCTTCCAGTCCTTCATCCTGCTCACTGACCACTACATCCTGGTAAGAAGACAAAGAAGAATACTTGATTTTCCTGTCAGACTTGAGATTTGAACGGGCAACCTTCCAGTTGTTGACCCGCCTTTCTCACTGTAGGTTACTTGCTGACCCAATCTCAATACCACGAGGTCTTGCTAACATTTAACCACCATGTCGTCACCAGGTGTGACTAGCTGTGCTCTGTGGGTTATAGACCTATATACTGTACCATCTGTCCTGTCTGTCCCACAGGCCCGGGTAGCCTTTGTCACAGGGATGCTGCTGAATATTGGAGTGCTGGTGGCGTTCAGGTTCATGCCTCTGCCCACTGTCAGAGGTGAGATCCGCCAGACACTCCTGTCACATCACCCTTGGGAGTATCAAGCTGGTTGTTACCTGTGTGAGAATTGCCATAGTTATTGTTCTTAACCATCCTATACAGTGAAAAAATCTAGGAATGTTGCATATCATTCCACACATGACCTCATGTTCATAAATACATGTATTGTCTTTAATACGCAACTTGTTGTCTATAACCACTCTTTTCGACGTTGTAGTTTTCAATCTTACCTGTTTTCCTGTGTCTCCCAGCGTCTTCAAGTCTTTCCTCTTGCGCCTGTCTATCCCTGCACCTGGTCAGTAAAGCCGACACGTTCTACTACTCTCTACTGCTCTTCAACCTCTGCACTGCCTTAGGTGAGTTTCCTACTGGGTCCAGAGGACAACCATCCATTAAAAACTCTCTCTGTCTCTCCACCCTGTCAGCCGGTCTCAACTTGCTCCCTACCCCTTGCCCGTGTCCCTTCAATGTTTATAGATCTGTGAGGTGTGAGCCTTTTAATCCTGTTACTTTGGTTATACCTATCCAGACCCTTCAGATCCGCAAACATCTTAGGGTTAGGGCCAAGGGGAAGCAAGCCACTTGGGACTGACTGTGTGTGTCCGTCTACTCACCCTCTGTCTCTCTGCAGGTCCCTGGTTCATAGGAGAGTTGATTGATGGTCACAGTGGAGCTTGCTTTGCCTTCGGAGTGGTTATCGACGGACACTTCCTCGAGGGAAGTCTCACTTATGTTGTTGGGGTTGTGCAGGTGAGGTGGCTGGTATTTAGTCAGGATCATTATGAGATGATATTAAGAGAGGGCGGTCATACATGCTCATGACAAGTCTTACAGTGCATTATAACTGCATGATATAATGCATAATGCCTGCTGGCTTTTAGTAAAGTTCTACCAGATTTTAAAAAAAAGTAGGAGACTATAAGGCAGTGGTCCTATTTCCGTTAAAAGGGTTACCTGTAGTTGACAAACGCTTATCCCCGTTTCTTCTCTCCTTCATTTCCCAACAGCTGCTCTTCTTCAACATGCCTCTCACCTGTTACCTGTGCTGGAGCCTTCACCTGCGTAGTCGTGGTAACTCCTTCCGCTCACACTTCTTCCGTCCGGGCTTTCTGTGGAAGACTCTGGGAGTGCATACGGCCATGTTGCTGCTGCTGGCCTGGCAGGGATACTCCTGTTACTTCCTGCTGGAGACGTATGGATCTCTGGCCTTCTTCCTGTCCCCGGTCCGCACGTGGGCAGTAGGGATCGCCCTGCTATTGGTCTACCGCGCCTGGAAGGGCCCCGCCCCCTGTCTCCGTGACGACAGCAAGACAACCACAGCCTCTTGACAGTTGCACTTATTTTCTTGACTTTCTGCTGGGGGATTCTCTTAGTGCCAATGTATTTAGTTTGCTATATCTATCCACTCTTCTATACCATATTTCAGACTACTCTTTTGTGCAAAGTTCTTTCTCGCTCTCTCCCTTCAAATCTACTTTCACTCGTGATCCTATTTCTGTTTTCCACTTTCCTAATTTTTAAACAGTTTTAAGAGTCGAGTTGTTTCATTTGCATGTTAGTGTATTGCATGTGTAGACCACACCCCTAGACACAGTCAGCGCTCTGAAGGTCTTCTTGGTACAGTGAAGTCACTAGTTCAGTATATATTGTGGATAGAATTGATTGTTCAGAAAATATGACTGCTGTTCCTCAGTAAAAGAAGGCTGATGTAGACAATATGATGAAGTGTCTCTCGCCACTGTATTCTGCTGTGGTAAAATGTATGTATTAGTTGACCACTTGAGACTTGATTTGTAGCAGTTATTGAAATTGTTGCCTAGGCCAACTGCCACACACATCACCACTGTCAAAGGATACATACAAACAGTCCTGCTCTGGCAGTTTTTGTATTTGGTTATGGCAAACTAGCTATATATTTTACACGGGTATAGCAGACCAATCACCTGACTGAGGTATTTTACATTTTTATTTTGAGCTCTTTGAAAATCTTCTGGCTTAAGATATCAGCTGTTTCTCAGGAATGGGAGGACTTGAACAAAAAGCTGTGTCCTTTGGTCAGTCAGAAACAGACTATATGATTTTTCATATATTCCATATTAGCTCAGTGGTGAATCCAACCACTCAAAGCATGTTAAACAATCAATATTTTTTGTGGTGATCAAAATGATGAATGTTAAATAATAGCAAGGGTGAAATGACCTGAGATTTTATTATGCTGGTTTAATTTATTTTGTATTGTGATTATTTCCTTGCACTGATTTCCTGCAATGGTGATGGTTATTCTCTATTGAGAAGTTGATTTGGTCAGCTTTGTGTTGTCTTCTGTCTAGAATGCAGATATTATTTTTGGGAGAGTTTCAGACCAGCACTGGGTGCTCGACATAGACTGAAATTGGTGCCGGTACTGTTCAAATGTAGGTGCTGGAGCTCCACAGTACTTTTTAGCTAATATTCTATAAGAGAAACAGGCGCTCAAGCAGTAGGAATGTTAAGGTGCCAGTACTCAGCTCCGGTGAGCTCCTGCCCAAGTCAAGCACTAATCTGGAATATATCAGGGTTGGGGTCCAATTTCTCATTGAATTAAGAAAATTGGAATTTCAGTTTAGTTCGTTGAATGACAAATGACTCATCAACTTTACTGATACTCTGCTCAGTACCGCCCACAAGCTATGTGACATGGCATCCACTAGAGGGCAGACCTACCAAGGGTTGAAGGGTCTCTTCTACAATCATGTCCATGTCCTATTTACCTTATTTCCCTTGGAATGGGATCTTCACATTCAGGGACTTGTTTTGTGGTTTTCTTTCATAGAACCAATACCAACTTTAGTGATATTCTATGTTTCAGGGTTCATTAGTGTCTCCCAAGTTACCCAATGCCAATGTTGATGATGAAGTGGAGATTTTCTGAAGGTTTCATGACTTGTGATTGTCCAGAGCTGTACTTTTAATTCACGGTCAGGTATTTATTTACCACCAGAATGTGAAGGGTCGACTGACTGGCTCAGTTGCCTCTAGCTAGGTAGGTAGCCTGGGTGCTAGTCTGTTTCTGATATTTTGCCAACTCCTTGGACTTTGCATGAGAGCAGAAATAAACTGGCACCTGTGCTACCTAGGTGGAGCATAACCACTACTTTACTAGTTTGATATACTGTTATGCTGTAACACTTGCGAATGGTAAAATAGATTGATGATTTTACACTTGCCACAGACACCTATTTTCAAATTTATAATTGAAATGAAGACAAACGATAGTTTAGATTTTATTAATGGTTTATAGTGCTGTGAAATAAATTGTTTATTAAAATGGAACCACGCTTTCTATGTTCAGTTTAAACATCTCTCACAAACTTGAATTCTTTGCTATTTGGCATGTTGATAATCAGATTGTCATGGATCATCGGTTTTAAGTATTTTACAAAAGTTACAAGTAAAGAAACATGCAGTACAGTGTTGTAACTACAAACAATATTTATTCAGTCCATCCAGTTCTTGTCAGTGTAGAAATCAAAGGCAGGAACAAGTAATGCGTGTAATAAAAAAGGCTTCTTGTGATTCCAGTAGCTTCAGATGGTGCCACCAGGGATTTGAATCAATCTGATATTTTAATGATCTGTTTACCAATGTTTCCTCCTTTCATCATGGAGCAAAAGGCCACTGCAAAATAAAGTAAAATTTCAATTCTCAGGTTTGTGGAAAATTGATTTTAAGACTGTCATTTAAGTAAAACTACACAATTACCATCGACACACACTAACCTCCCATATTCTCAATGCCATTTACTACTGTCTCCAACACCTGAAAGAAGAATGGAGGGACAAAATCATACAGTGCAAAACAAATGACTCAAATCGGCCTCTCTTGCACGAAGGGGGTCAAACTGAGTGGGAGGTTTTGGGTAACAACATCCGGCAACATGGCGCCGCTTTGTTCACCAAGTGCCCAAAAATCATTTATTTTGTATTTTGGAGAAATTACATCCAGAGAACAGTTCTTCAGCACTCGAACAACATTTTACTTTGGTGAGTAACAAAAGTATATTGAACTTAGTGGAGTTTTGCGCTCAGCGAACCAGGCCCTGGACCAGAGCTACTCACTAGCTTGCCTATAAATCAGACTGATACCAATTAGTTGGTTACACAGTCTGACACAATGCACTGCAAAAAGTTGGAAAGCTGCCTCAAGCCAGAAAGTTGTGTATTCACCCCCTTTGCTATGAAGCCCCTAAATAAGATCTGCTGCAACCAATTACCTTCAGAAGTCACATAATTAGTTAAATAAAGTCCACCTGTGTGCAATCTAAGTGTCACATGATGTCAGTATATATACACCTGTTCTGAAAGGCCCCAGAGTCTGCAACACCACTAAGCAAGGGGCACCACCAAGCAAGTGGCACCATGAAGACCAAGGAGCTCTCCAAACAGGTCAGGGACAAAGTTGTGGAGAAGTACAGATCAGGGTTGGGTTATAAAAAATATATAAAACTTTGAACATCCCATAGAGCACCATTAAATCCATTATTAAAAAATGGAAAGAATATGGCACCACTACAAACCTGCCAAGAGAGGGCCGCCCACCAAAACTCACAAACCAGGCAAGGAGGGCATTAATCAGAGGGGCAACAAAGAGACCAAAGATAACCCTGAAGGAGCTACAAAGCTCCACAGCGGAGATTGCAGTATCTGTCCATAGGACCACCTTAAGCCATACACTCCACAGTGTTGGGCTTTACGGAAGAGTGGCCAGAAAAAAGACATTGCTTAAAGAAAAAAATAAGCAAACACGTTTGGTGTTCGCCAAAAGGCATGTGGGAGACTCCCAAACATATGGAAGAAGGTACTCTGGTCAGATGAGACTAAAATTGAGCTTTTTGGCCATCAAGGAAAACGCTATGTCTGGCGCAATCCCAACACCTCTCATCACCCCGGAAACACCATCATTGTGGTGGCAGCATCATGCTGTGGGGATGTTTTTTACCGGCAGGGACTGGGAAACTGGTCAGAATTGAAGGAATGATGGATGGCGCTAAATACAGGGAAATTATTGAGGGAAACCTGTTTCATTCAGTCTTCCAGAGATTTGAGACTGGGACGGAGGTTCACTTTCCAGCAGGACAATGACCCTAAGCATACTGCTAAAGCAACACTTGAATGGTTTAAGGGGAAACATTTAAATGTATTGGAATGGCCTAGTCAAAGCCCAGACCTCAATCCAATTGAGAATCTGTGGTATGAATTAAAGATTGCTGTACACCAGCGGAACCCATCCAACTTGAAGGAGCTGGAGCAGTTTTGCCTTGAAGAATGGGCAAAAATCCCAGTGGCTAGATGTGCCAAGCTTATGGACACATACCCCAAGAGACTTGCAGCTGTAATTGCTGCAAAAGGTGGCTCTACAAAGTATTGACTTTGGGGGGGAGAATAGTTATGCACGCTCAAGTTCTGTTTTTTGTCTTATTTTGTCACGCCCTGACTCAGGGGACTCTTATATGTTGAGTCAGGGTGTGTATATTCTTTGTTGTGTATGTTCTATGTTGTATATTCTAGTATGTGTGGATCTATGTTGGCCGGTGTGGTTCCCAATCAGAGGCAGCTGTCGCTCGTTGTCTCTGATTGGGGACCATACTTAGGCAGCCTATGGGCACTATTGAGTTGTGGGATCTTGTTCCTTGTAAGGTATGTTGTGTGTTCTACCTTGGACTTCGTTTATTGTTTTGTCGTGTGTTTATTTAGTTTAATAAACATGCACGTATATCACGCTGCGCCTTGGTCTGACCCGTCATTCAATGAACGTGACAGAAGATCCCACCAAACGAGGACCAAGCAGCGTGCCCAGGCGGAGCGAATGGCCATGTCACAGGTGGCCGATTTGTGGTCATGGGAAGAGATATTTGCGGGGAGAGGACCATGGCCAACGGCAACACGGAGGAGGCCGGTCGAGGAGGAAGCCCGAGAAGCAGCCCCAATAACATTTTTTGGGGGGGGCACACAGGGTGGTTGGCGGAGCCTAGGGTTAGAGCAGAGCCAACTCCCCATACTCACGCGAAGAGGCATATGACTGGGCAAGCACTGTGTCGCCAGTGCGCCGGCACAGTCCTGTACATCCTGTGCTTGCACCACGCACGTGCGTGCGAAGATGGGCATCTAGCCAGGACGGGGTGTGCCGGCTCAACACTCCTGGTCTCCAGGACGCCTCCTCGGTCCCGCATATCCTGCGCCAGTTCTACGAAATGTATCGCCAGTGCGCGTGCACAGCCCAGTGCGTCCTGTGCCAGCACCCTGCACGTGTAGTGCGAAAGTGGGCAGCCAGCCAGGACGGGTTGTGCCAGCTCTCCGCTCTAGACCTCCAGTCCGCCTCCACAGTCCGGCCCGGCCTGTTCCTGCTCCTCGCACCAAGCCAGTGGTGCGCGTCGCCAGCCCGGCCCGGCCTGTTCCTGCTCCTCGCACCAAGCCAGTCGGTCAGCGGCTCCAGTCCAGACCATGACGTCAGCCCCTCTCCAGGTTCGGGGTCTCCCACACCAGGGTCCAGACAGGGCCTGGCGTATCGTGGGAGGAAGGAGAGGGGAAGCAGCGCGCCAAAGTCCAGACCAGACCAGGGGCGCAACAGGGAGGCGGAGATTGAGAGGTCGTCACGCCCCGAGCCGGATCCGCCTCCGAGGCGGAATGCCCACCCGGCCCCTACCCTGTTAGGTTTATGTTGTGCGGTCGGAGTCCGCACCTTTTGGGGGGGTACTGTCACGCCCTGACTCAGGGGACTCTTATATGTTGAGTCAAGGTGTGTATATTCTTTGTTGTGTATGTTCTATGTTGTATATTCTAGTATGTGTGGATCTATGTTGGCCGGTGTGGTTCCCAATCAGAGGCAGCTGTCGCTCGTTGTCTCTGATTGGGGACCATACTTAGGCAGCTTATGGGCACTATTGAGTTGTGGGATCTTGTTCCTTGTAAGGTATGTTGTGTGTTCTACCTTGGACTTCACGTTTCGTTATTGTTTTGTCGTGTGTTTATTTAGTTTAATAAACATGTACGCATATCACGCTGCGCCTTGGTCTGACCCGTCATTCAACGAACGTGACATATTTCTTGTTTGTTTCACAAGAAAAAATATTTTTGCATCTTGAAAGTGGTAGGCATGTTGTGTAAATCAAAGGATACAAACCCCCCAAAAATCCATTTTAATTCCAGGTTGTAAGGCAACAAAATAGGGAAAATGCCAAGTGGGTGAATACTTTCGCAAGCCACTGTATATGGTTCTTTGGCTTGTATCTTGATGCATGCACACTATGTAAACAATAGCTGAACGTAATCGAACATTGCTGACCGAAGCACATTTCCTGTCAATCAGGTGGAAGTGCTTGCGTCTTACTGCACATCACCTGAGGTGTATTCATTAGTCGGATTCCGTTGCAAAACGTTTCGGCGGTTGCGAAAATACAAACCGGATATTCAAAACGACAGAAGAATATAGAGACCAGCATTCTGAAAGTCGGGTTAATAACACTTTCCTTTGGATAATTAGTCTCAAATTTCCACACACATAAGGACGAGTCAACATTCTGATTTGTAAAGGACAGTTTGGAATGTTTGACCCTATATGTTAGATGAGTGAGGCAGGAGCCTTCCACACTCGGATTTGAAAGGGGCAGCTCGCTAGCTAGCAATGTGCGTGCTTCAATTACGTGACTCAGTTGTTCGTTAGTCAATCAGAAAAACCTGAAAATAATATCAGATAGTGGCCATTGACTTTGATATTAGATCAGTTTGGTGTTGAAAGCCCCCAAGTAATGACCTTGTAAACAAATGCGGCGCCATGTTGGCAGAAGTTCTGTTATGCGCAGAACCTCCCCCCTCGCTTGAGAGAGAGGCCTACCCTAAAAAATGTTAACTTATCTCAGAACTTCCAGGTATACAGAACACAAGATGGCCTCAGACACACAGACTTTGCCTTGCCTTGATCTGCCCCTCTTTGACCCACTGACTGAGCTGCATGATGCCGGCTTCATGTTTCTCCATGTAGTTCAGCACCATGAACCGCTCCCTGATGGAATAGAGTAGAGTAGAGCTTTATAACACAGATACAGACTGGGCCAATCAGGCTCATTTCATCTCAAACACAACCTTCCAATAATAAGAAGGACCAATTTCAACATTTCATGTGTTTGAACTGTTTACAGATTAATACAATATTTAGTAATACACTTTCTACAAATGACTTGTATATTTAGTATACTGCAGCTCCAAATGGTCCTTCAGTGATCTGTGAGTCAGACAGTTGAGTACCTGGTGATGTTTTTGCTTTGCAGTGCCTCCTGAGTCTCATCACAGAGGGGCGGTGGGTAGGGCACATCCTTGTTGTACTGGGAGATCTGTCCACAGAGGATCACGTGACCACCATTGTTCATCTGGAGATGGAAGAAGGGAGGGATGTGTGTTAGTCAGAATGTTAAGAGGGAAAAATATCACTGTATTAGGGTGGATTTAAATTAGTAAAATATGTCTAGTGAGATCTCTCTTTTCAACATCAGATTTGCAGCTTTTCTGTTTACACTAGACTTGGATGTGGTGTGGCCAAAGCCACGTTGCTGTTTCATGTGTGAGTGCCGATATTAGCATACCGTAAATACCCCCCCCCCCCCATCATCTTCTTCTGTGGGTTTTATGGCGGACTACATCCAAAAGTTGTATTGCCGCCACCAACTGGACAGTTTGAAACCAAAAATAAAAATCCATACTTAATAGTGATTCTAACAATCCACCCTAATAAAAATAGTACATTGCCAAAACAAACAAAACTCCCACTTCTTCCTTCTTTTAGTTCTCCATATCTCCTTTCTCAGGCTCTAGGACCTGAGCATGATACGGCTTTTGCTAATATTCCATGTAACTCCTTTGCTGTGAAATCTTTCAGCCCCAGGAACTGCTCCGCTGCAATCACAATGATTTAAATCTTCCTAGATATTTTCTCCACATTGGCAGTGCCATTTATCACCATTGTGATAAAGGCCACATTTTTTACCTTTAAAATGTCAGGATCCTCTTGGTTTAAGACAACCCCTGCAGTGAAGGCCTATCCACTACCATGGACTCTTCTGGTGCAACATTCATTCATGAAAAAGAAAAAAAAGAATAATGTATGCACTAACTGTAAGTCGCTCTGGATAAGAGCGTCTGCTAAATGACTTAAATGTAAATGTAATTCATACCCTCAACCCTTTTCACAGCTTCTGCATATGAAATGCTCTGTACAACCCTGACTTTGGCCACCTCATTCTCCTTTACCCTTGTGGGGCATTTTAGAAGACGTGGCTTCATGATTCCCACCGCAATTACATGTCACATTTTCTTCACTTCTATAACACATAATTTGATATTTTACATATCTTGTACATCTCGGCTTCTCCCTTCTGCAAACACTTTCTACATGACCAAAAGCTTTACAATGTTCACACTGCATTGGTCTTGGGATAAATGCTCTAACTTAATATACCCTACCTGCACTTCATTAGGGAGAGACTCCATTTCAAAACAAAAAAGAACAGATAGACTTCACTTTTTCCCCATTCACCACACGATTCATCCGACGTGCTTCAATCACTCCAGGAATATTTTTCATCTCTTCCAAATCAACTTCCCACGAAACGCCAGATATAACCCCCTTGAGGGGTGCCCTGTTCCGAAAAGACACACGCAACACTTCAAACTTATAAAATCGATTAAGACACAACGCACGTTCCTTCTGATCCGCAGAATCACAAAACATCTAAACAAGCCCGCCTCACGTGATCCTCACATCCTTCACTTTACCCAGCACTCTCTCTACCAGTTTGGATAACTCAAATGGTTTCTTCAAGATTGGTACTCTGCTCAGCTGATCCTCATTAACAAACCGTACTCCTACTAGATACAAAGGTTCATTCTCATCACTGTACCCTACTTTGCTCCGTTTTCCATTCTTTTGAACAATACTCCAATTCTCCTTGATTCTGCCCCAATTGTATTCAGTATCCACTTCATCATCCGCTTCCGCCATCTTCCTTCCTCCAGCCTCGGCCCCCCAAGACGTTTCACATTTGTTTTAACCCTAAACTGGCACACCTGATTCAATTAGTCAAAGGCTTGATGATTAGTTGACTAATTGAATCAGGTATCAATTTAGGGGGGGGAGTGAAACGGGGGGGGGCCGAGGAGAGGGTTGGGAATTAAGGTCTTTAAGGTAATTCTTGCAGGAACGTGTGGTGTGAGAGAGCCGTTGTCTTTACACTGTATCACTCAAAGAGGGGTATGTGGTGTAGATGTGTCCTACACTACCTTTAGCATTAGTGTGGGAGACATCTCTTAAATAAATAATTTAATCTAGATCCGTCTCTTTACACTACACAAGTATCTCTCCTGGACCTAGTTTGTGTCGTCAAAGTAGTGTAAAGAAGCCCTTAAGCATTGCTCACATTGGCAGTATGAAGTGACTGAAATCCAATTTTTTTGCATATCCTACTCAAATCTGTTCTTTTTCCTGCAGTCTGAACATCCCAAAAGCACATGGGATCAGATATTTCAAGCCACATTTCAAACCACCTTCGTAGGTGGTTTGAAGTCAGATACAAATCTGATTACTGGCCATGCGTCTTGTGTCTGAATGGTCAAATCTGATTTATTTGCCCTGTGGTTTTTAGACTGTTATTTGGCATATCTTGCTGCTTGCTAGCTACTCTGTTGACAGTTTGACAAGAACATGCGGTAGCCAACTAGCTTGTTAATTGTTTACAAACAAATGAGTGAATGTGCTAGAAAGTTAAGCAGCTACCTAGCTAGCTAGTTGACTGCTGTGGCTAGCCAAAAAGGACTTGTTTAGAAAGTTGGATAATCTTATCCTTTGAGGCTTTAAAAGTGTTCTTACACTATGATTTTGAACATTCAACGCAACTGGAAAACATCCATGGCAGGCATTGTTGTCACTTTAGCTTGCTACATAACTTCTGAGTGATAGGAAGCAGGAGCATCATCACCAATCAGCCTACACCACTGCACACACATATGTTGTTACTATGACAACTAGTGTAGCCATGTCAGCAAATTACTGCTGTCTGAACACACACAAATCTGATTTGGTCACTTGTAACTTGCTGTTTGGACAGTCTATATTCCAAAACAGATTTGAAAACAAGACTGATTTTGAGCATTAAGGCCTGCAGTGTGAACAAGGCTTTAGAGTGGCTGAAGTAACAGAACACAACCTACAATACTTCCAAATAATAGTTCCATGTGCTTTAGCTTACAAAGGCCATATTTACATTGCTAATCCGACATAAATGCCATAAGTGTCGTCTCTATAGCGGCATATCGAGAGCTTTGGACTATAAGGTGCTATCTGCAAAAATATGATTATGATATAAATGTCTTTAAAGTTCCCCTACCCTCATTGGTTTGAATGGCTATTTTTTAAAATCTTGTATTCTTTTGAACTTAACAACATGAATTGGGGTATTTAGAGTACTATATACACTACCGGTCAAAAGTTTTAGAACACCTACTCATTCAAGGGTTTTTCTTTATTTTTACTATTTTCTACATCAAAACTATGAAATAACACATATGGAATCATGTAGGAGCCAAAAAATTGTTAAACAAATCAAAATATATTTGAGATTTGAGATTCTTCAAAGTAGCCACCCTTTGCCTTGATGACTGCGTCGCACACTTTGGCATTCTCTCAACCAGCTTCATGAGGTAGTCACCTGGAATGCATTTCAATTAACAGGTGTGCCTTCTTAAAAGTTAATTTGTGGAATTTCTTTCCTTCTTAATGCATTTGAGCCAATCAGTTGTTGTGACAAGGTAGGGGGGTATACAGAAGATAGCCCTACTTGATAAAAGATTAAGTCCATATTATGGCAAGAACAACTCAAATAAGCAAAGAGAAACGACAGTCCATCATTACTTTAAGACATCAAGGTCAGTCAATACTGAAAATTTCAAGAACTTTGAAAGTTTCTTCAAGTGCAGTCGCAAAAACCATCAAGCGCTATGAGGAAACTGGCTCTCATGAGGACTGCCACAGGAATGGAAGACCCAGAGTTACCTCTGCTGCAGAGGATAAGTTCATTAGAGTTACCAGCCTCAGAAATTGCATCACAGAGTTCAAGTAACAGACACATCTCAACATCAACTGTTCAGAGAAGACTGTGTGATTCAGGCCTTCATGGTCAATTGCTGTAAAGAAATCATTACTAAAGGACACCAATAAGAACAAGAGACTTGGGCCAAGAAACACGAGCAATGGACATTAGACCGGTGGAAATGTGTCATTTGGTCAGGAGTCCAAATCTGAGATTTTTGTTTCCAACCGCGGTATCTTTGTGAGACGCGGTGTGGGTGAACGGATGATCTCCGCATGTGTATTTCCCACCGTAAGGCATGGAGGAGGTGTTATGGTGTGCGGGTGCTTTGCTGGTCACACTGTCTGTGATTTATTTAGAATTCAAGGCACACTTAACCAGCATGGCTACCACAGCATTCTGCAGCGATACGCCATCCCATCTGGTTTGGGCTTAGTGGGACTCTCATTTGTTTTTCAACAGGACAATGACCCAACACACCTCCAGGCTGTGAAAGGGCTATTTTACCAAGAAGGACAGTGATGGAGTGCTGCATCAGATTACCTGGCCTCCACAATCCCCCGAGCTCAACCAAATTTAGATGGTTTGGGATGAGTTGGACCGCAGAGTGAAGGAATAGCAGCCAACAAGTGCTCAGCATATGTGGGAACTCCTTCAAGACTGTTGGAAAAGCATTCCAGGTGAAGCTGGTTGAGAGAATGCAAAGAGTGTGCAAAGCTGTCATCAAGGCAAAGGGTGGATATTTGAAGAATCTCAAATATATTTTGATTTGTTTAACACTTTTTGGTTACTACATGATTCCATATGTGTTATTTCATTGTTTTGATGTCTTCACTATTATTCTACAATGTAGAAAATTAGTAAAAATGAAGAAAAACACTTGAATGAGTAGGTGTTCTAAAACTTTTGACCAGTAGTGTAGGTAGAGAACATTGAACAGAACAAGGCTATGTCAATAACTAAATTTTGACAAAAATGCAGATAGAACCTTATAGTCCCAAGCTCTTGATATCCTGTCTGCGTAAAGACGCCTAAAGACAGTAAAACCTGCTTACCTGTGCTATTACAGCATCGCTTATGGGCCCTCCCACATTGTCAAAGTAGACATCCACTCCATTAGGACAACTCTCCTTCAGTGCTGTGGCTATGTCCCCCTGCCGGTAGTTGACTGCTGCAGAAAACCCCAGGTCCTCCACAAGGGCTCTGCACTTCTCATCAGACCCACAGATCCCCACCACCCTGGTACAACCATCCACACGGCCAATCTGTGGAGCAGGAGGAACACAGAGAAACCCTGGGAGTCTCAAATTAATCTCTCTTTGATTCCTTGTGTCCCATCTCCTCACCTCTTCCTCGTAAACGCATTGGAGGGAAAATGTCAGGGGAGGGACAGAGGGGAGGGACCTTGGACCTCTAAAGTGTTTTCACAAGGGGGCAAGTATAGAGAATGTGAGGATTCGAGGAAAGACAATTGAGAACCACTGTCTATTCACAAAGAGACCATACTATGTTAACTAGATCAGGTTTACTGTAACAACGTGCTTGTGTTTACCTGCCCAGCTATGGATCCACAAGCCCCTGCAGCTCCACTGACCACCATGGTCTGATTGGCTCCTTTGGTCACGTGACCCTTCTCTCTGACACCCAATAGGGCTGTGAGGCCAGGCATGCCAACTGTACCCAGAAAGTAGGATATGTGTCCATCAACCAGCTGTGGATCAACCTGTAGAAAATGAATTAACTAAGTTTAGAAAAAACTGTCTTTAAGTACATACAGTGGGGGAAAAAAGTATTTAGTCAGCCACCAATTGTGCAAGTTCTCCCACTTAAAAAGATGAGAGAGGCCTGTAATTTTCATCATAGGTACACGTCAACTATGACAGACAAATTGAGGAGAAAAAAATCCAGAAAATCACATTGTAGGATTTTTAATGGATTTATTTGCAAATTATGGTGGAAAATAAGTATTTGGTCACCTACAAACAAGCAAGATTTCTGGCTCTCACAGACCTGTAACTTCTTCTTTAAGAGGCTCCTCTGTCCTCCACTCGTTACCTGTATTAATGGCACCTGTTTGAACTTGTTATCAGTATAAAAGACACCTGTCCACAACCTCAAACAGTCACACTCCAAACTCCACTATGGCCAAGACCAAAGAGCTGTCAAAGGACACCAGAAACAAAATTGTAGACCTGCACCAGGCTGGGAAGATCTGCAATAGGTAAGCAGCTTGGTTTGAAGAAATCAACTGTGCGAGCAATTATTAGGAAATGGAAGACATACAAGACCACTGATAATCTCCCTCGATCTGGGGCTCCATGCAAGATCTCACCCCGTGGGGTCAAAATGATCACAAGAACGGTGAGCAAAAATCCCAGAACCACACGGGGGGACCTAGTGAATGACCTGCAGAGAGCTGGGACCAAAGTAACAAAGCCTACCATCAGTAACACACTACGCCGCCAGGGACTCAAATCCTGCAGTGCCAGACGTGTCCCCCTGCTTAAGCCAGTACATGTCCAGGCCCGTCTGAAGTTTGCTAGAGTGCATTTGGAGGATCCAGAAGAGGATTGGGAGAATGTCATATGGTCAGATGAAACCAAAATAGAACTTTTTGGTAAAAACTCAACTCGTCGTGTTTGGAGGACAAAGAATGCTGAGTTGCATCCAAAGAACACCATACCTACTGTGAAGCATGGGGGTGGAAACATCATGCTTTGGGGCTGTTTTTCTGCAAAGGGACCAGGACGACTGATCTGTGTAAAGGAAAGAATGAATGGGGCCATGTATCATGAGATTTTGAGTGAAAACCTCCTTCCATCAGCAAGGGCATTGAAGATAAAACGTGGCTGGGTCTTTCAGCATGACAATGATCCCAAACACACCGCCCGGGCAACGAAGGAGTGGCTTCGTAAGAAGCATTTCAAGGTCCTGGAGTGGCCTAGCCAGTCTCCAGATCTCAACCCCATAGAAAATCTTTGGAGGGAGTTGAAAGTCTGTGTTGCCCAGCGACAGCCCCAAAACATCACTGCTCTAGAGGAGATCTGCATGGAGGAATGGGCCAAAATACCAGCAACAGTGTGTGAAAACCTTGTGAAGACTTACAGAAAACGTTTGACCTGTGTCATTGCCAACAAAGGGTATACAACAAAGTATTGAGAAACTTTTGTTATTGACCAAATACTTATTTTCCACAATAATTTGCAAATAAATTCATTAAAAATCCTACAATGTGATTTTCTGGAGAAAAACATTCTCATTTTGTCTGTCATAGTTGACGTGTACCTATGATGAAAATTACAGGCCTCTCTCATCTTTTTAAGTGGGAGAACTTGCACAATTGGTGGCTGACTAAATACTTTTTTCCCCCACTGTAGCTATACACTGTACTGTGCAGGCTCCTTCCTATATTTTAAATAGGCACGATTCCAGCAACTATGGTGGATCTACTCGTCTCAGTAGTATGAAAAAGGCACTAGACTGCTATACTGTAGGATAGATATAGACTGGTGGATATAGGATAAAGTAGGCCTACCTTCTGTAAGAGCTTTCCATCCATCACACCATGTGTCTGCCAGTGCCAGTTGAACGAGGTGACCATGTCACCCACAGAGAGGGCATCGTAGCGGCTGGACTCCACCACCCCGACGCCTCCACCGTCCACACACTCCGACAGCCCCCATGGAGCCAGGTACTCAGCACCTGTGTCGTCGTTCATGCGACATCGCTACGAGAGATGATGATGAAGCATGGAATGTCATTATGTCACCTCTGAACAGTGTATTTGGATAGGGTTAAGGTACCTTACCATAACTTATTGAGCACTTATGAAACTAACATTTCTGTTTGTATGCAGGTGTTAGCCATGCCCACTTATTGGACACATCTTTACATAGCCTATATTATCGGAAACTTATCATAGGTCACTAATGGTCCCATTTTGTTTATTTCATACACATTTGATCTAATCAGCAAAGTGCAGACTAATTTCTCAGCCTTTTTTTCCAGCCATGCATCACCATGTAAGGGTCAACAGACAGGAAGAGGGTCCGGACAAGGACTTGTCCTTCTTTCAAATCAGGTTGTACAGTCGTCTCTTCCATGCGGAAATGACCAGGGACTGGCTCTCCATTAGTCCCTGTAAAACAAAAACATAGAAGAGCCATTTTAGCCTACTTATGTGGTTATTGTGTAGTCTATAGTTTGTCTCTGAACATTCAACTTAATTAGTACACTAAAGGGCACTATATGTTGGGTCATGGATCACATGGATGAAGCATAGGTACGCCAGAAATATTTTAAGAAATTAGGAGATAGTAAACTCATTGGTTAATGAATGGAGGAATGTAAAACGACCCTCCCAGCATACTGTCGACCAATCGTGTTCACGTTGGTGCGTCACACGGTTATCAAGCTAATCATCACGAAATCCCTTATAGAAAGTCAGGGTATGGTGGTGCTTTTAAGACAACTCGGAACCTCAGAGTTAAAATGTGCATATGTTTTGTTGCGTAGAGCTGCCCATTGGTTGATTCTGATATTTTCCAAGCGGAAAACTCGGAGATCATCTTTCTACGAGTTTCCCAGTCGAAAATGTCTGAGTTCCGAGTTGTCTTGAACGCGGCATGAGTCGAGAAACTGCTATTTTCCTTGAAAGTACGTAATGTCACAATTTCAAAACGATATGATGTTACAAAGAACAAGTTACATATCTCTGAAAATATTTGTACCATTGTGCTTCTTCTTCAAGGAATTCATGCTAATTTTGGGGTTTTGAGCTAGTGCCCAATTTACTGCCATTCACTCCTTGAAGGAGTGCACTTGGTTTTGACTAGATGGGATGCCACTAATGTCAGAAGCATGGGTTGGAACCAGTTTAGGGAACGAACCAAAAACTGAAAAATAACAAAAAAATTCGAGGAACGGAAAGTGATCTCTAGTGTTCCAGAACAGAACCGTTATTTTAAAATCTTGAGAACCAGTTAATGTTGTTTTTAGTTCAAAAAATATTCCTAATGTCTAGTAGCCTATATATGATTCTGTAATTCGGTGAAGTTATAATGGCTAGTAATAGTTTAAACACATTCCAATTCACGTCATGTCATGATGTTCAGCGCTTCAAGCCAAGCCCCCATGTCCAACCACATCTCTCGCTCTCCCCACCAGTGAAATTTCAGTTGCATTTTGTGCCTTTACTTAGTTGACCAATCAAACATGTAAACAACCATCTTACCCGTTCCACAGCAAGCTGCTCTATCTGCGCTAATTGGGGGAGTTAATAAATGAGCTAAATGTATGATTTCACAGGTTTAAAAAAATGAACGAAAAGGAACTATATAAACCGTTGGTTTTTTTGTTTCGAACCGGTTCAGAACTTTTCTGGTCGGAATACCAGAACGAAACAAAAGAAAATAGGGGTTCTGCTCGGAACGGAGTGATTGGAAAATAATTTAGGTTCTAACCCCTAGTCAGAAGTGACTTTTCATAGCAGGTTAGGAGAAGGGTTAAGGTTCGCTAAAGTGCTAAACTTCTAGACGAGACTCGATTATGCAAATGTTGATGTCACTGACATTAGCGGCATCCCTTCTAGACATGACCAGTGCACTCCTTGTCCCAGAATGTCCCCGAATGCATTGCGCGGCCCATTGGAAATGCACGGGCAACGTACACAATGGGCATTAATACGAATCTAAATTTACCATCTCCTAATTTTCTTAAAGTATTTCTGGGCATGCAGGTGACCCCGGAAGTATGGAGAGTTATGGAGAGTTTTTAAACCCTTTATTCCTTAAAAGTCTATGGGCGCACCAGTACATCAATCTAAGTAACATAATAAAAAAAATCCCCATCAAAATCTGACAGAATGGGCTGCGTCTTAATTCAGCACATCCGCCCATATGCATCTGCGGTGGAAGGTGGCCGAGCTACAGCGGTGTTTGTCAGACCATGAGACATCCCGAAAATCAGTCTTCTCATGAAGACGTCTGTAGCGTCCGAGCAGTTTGGCCTAAAAACTATTATGACCACTCTATGGAAGGCTCTCACGAACACTATGGTGTTCTCCGTTTTGCTCTACGACCCCCACAAGTGTCACGGGACTCGTCTGAAGGTAACCATACAAACGAATGGAAGTATGGAGGTAGTTTTGTGCCAACAAAAATAAGGGGTTAAATATATCCCCAAAAACTAAAATATTTCCTGAGCTTTCTTATATCTCCTAGACAGACACTTCAAAGCCTTATTCCTTATTTATTATTAACCTGTATTTTTGCCATTTATGAATGTGTTATTCAATGCATTTCTATGAGCTATAGTAGTAAACCCCCACGGCTATAGTTGTAAAGCCCCCACCCCTTAGACTTTTAGAGGTTAAACATGTATATTAAAATCAAATCAAATTGTATTTGTCACATGCACCGAATACAAGTGTAGCCTTTACCGTGAAATGCTTAAAAAAAGCCCTTTCCCAACAATGCAGTTAAAAATAAAATTAACAAATAGTAAGTTTGGATCAGCACAAAAGAAACACACAAAATAGCACAATTGGTCAGGAGCCCCGTAAAATGACGGCCATCCCCTCCGGCCCTATTATATATTCTATTTGACAGTGCTTACCGTGCTCACCTCACATTGGAACTTTACGCCTACGTAGCCAAAAGGCAGGCAGATGGCGATAATGAGTCGTCAGATGTCGATATCATAGATAGAACAAGTGGCACAGTGGTCTAAGACACTGCATCTCAGTGCTTGAGGCGTCACTACAGACCCCCTGGTTCGATTCCAGGCTGTATCACAACCGGCCGTGATTGTGAGTCCCTTAGGGTGGCGCACATTTGGTCCAGCGTCGTCCGGGTTTGGCCGGTGTAGGCCGTCATTTTAAATAAGAATTTGTTCTTAACTGACTTGCCTAGTTAAATAAAGGTTTTAAAAAATAAAATAAAAAATAAACAACGAGCCAGATATTTCACCAGATGTATAAATGTGAAGCATCCGGTTGGTGTTTCCACTCACTACCAAATATGGTGATGAGAGGCACCCCAGTGGCTGGCAGTGGGAGAAGATGGAGCAAGATGGATTTTAGCCAACATTCTGCACATTTTCTCTTTTATGAAACATTTGATCTCCATACAGTTTTCTGTTTCCAAACCTAGAATCTATAACAAACAAAGTGGACTGCGTTTTGTAGAATTTACCCTTTGCCAAAGTTTCTAAAAATTGCGTTGTTCAGAAGGCTTGCAAGGGCGAATTGAGTTATTGCACACAAGCGCTTCACAGAGTAGGTGTTCCTTAACGGAAATATGCTAATACAACGCGTCAATAGGATCTCACTATCTCGTACTTAGCTCTGCCCACTTCCTTGCTTGTTCTGCCCACTATGATTAATTTGCTCCCATTGGAAACGATAGGCTCTGACTATCTTGGGTTAGTTATAAAAAATCTTAGGCGATATTGAGTCAGTTCGATGACTCAATGTCGCCATCTGCCGGCGTTTGGACTAGCGCCTATGCTAATTACATCTACCTGTATGTAATTCTTGCAATGTTTTTATCTTGGCAGCTAATAAAATGGACAACGGACCCAACCAAAGATGTACATTTGGAAACCGATTTGTTTTGTACGCGTTTATTTGCAATCCCACCCGTACAGGAGTTGCTGTCAGGAACTTTTGACTAAGTTATGCCGCATTCACGTGCTAGTCGGAACAAACAAGGACATTATTCGCCTTGCTAAGTGCTTGACCATGACAAGTATATAACTACCACCAGTTAGCAAATCAAACATTTCCGGGTTTCCTAGTTCCGACTAAGGCGGGAACGCCGCATTATCATTGACCAGTCGTTTCAAAAAGTAAGCTAACAACTATCTCCATTCATGCACTTGCTAGGCTACAATGACCGCTGTATGACAATCTAAAATGTCTCATACAGCGGAGAAGTATACACATACCAGGTCGGGAGTTAAGCAGCACTCTTTGCACGCGCAACATATTCTCTCGTCAAAATGGCAGAAGTAAATGTTGTTTTCATTTATAAATCCATTAAATTGTGTTTATGCTGCGAATAGTTAAGTTGTTACCGCTGCGAAGCAGTCAGACAAGAGTAACTAAGTACTTCCGTGTCACGGATTTTTGAAATCCTTCAGAATACGGGTCTCGTCCTGTAGACGCTGTAAATTAATAATTAAGGTGAAAGTGATGGAAATGTGCACAATTATCGATATATTGTTCACTAGCTATTTTCAGAGTTTACACCCAGAGAAGCGTCGGTGCTCATTTTGCGGCCCTTACGTGGTGGCCTATCAGCTGAAATGTAGTATGTTTTCATATTGGACAGTACAAAATTATCTGTACAAAACAGATTTTGAACAAAAACCTAGGTTATATATGAAGTATTGCAGGACATTTACTGTGGTCAAACAGCTTTATGTAAGGTGCTGGACACTATATGGTACAAATATAACACTGTACAGGAAAAACTATTGATTGTTTGTGTACATAAAACCAGGGTCCAGTCTGCACTTTTGTTCTGTCGCTTTAACTGTTTACTGACTGACTAATTACAAAACAAAAAGTTAACTATTTTAACTTACTCTTTGTTTGCTTCTATACCAGACTTGCACTCTTGGCTTGACCTATAATGGAGGTGACAAATTCTGACTGTTAGCAGGTGATTAGGTGAGAAGCTAACTGCTTAAGTGAGAAAATGAAAACAATGTGATCAGTAGATGGAGTGTTAACTGACTGGCATACCTGTAAATGACCCACATTATCCTAATGATGAGAAGGCTGCAGACTTCACCTATTTAAATCAGCCGGTCTTACTTGCCAAAACGTGCATCAGGTCAAGTGTTTTGGCTAGACAAATAAAATATATTTTTTGAGGCAGTATCCTTGTAAGATCATGTTGCTACAGGTTAGTATCAACCCAATCTTCAATTTTTTTTCCTTCTTAAAATGACATGGAAACAATGTTGATTCAACCAGTTTGTGCCCACTGTGCTGATACCCATGAGATGAAGAGGATCTTGCATACCATTTGAAACTTCTGTTTTACTGTTGATGATCAATTTCACAAAAAGTATTTGATTAATGAGATTCGTTGTGATATTTGTTATGAATAAGCTTTTTTTAACAAATTGCATCTCTCAACTTTTTGAATAAACATATTGTTTGCTTGTAGAATGAGTGACGCTCCTCGGAGTGTAAACTCTGTTGATTTGGAAACTACAAGTGCTCCTGAGTAGAATGGACCCGCCTTTTACTGCGACACAGCATACAGAAAATAGTGTACGGTGCAATATGTACACTATATATACAGGAGTATGTGGACACAGCTTCAAATGTGTGAATTCGGCTAGTTCAGTCACATCCGTTGCTGACAGGTGTATAAAATCGAGCACACAGCCATACAATCTCCATAGAAAAACATTGGCAGTAGAATGGCCTTACTGAAGAGGTCAATGACTTTTAACGTGGCACTGTCATAGGACGCCACCTTTCTAACAAGTCAGTTCGTCAAATTTCTGCCCTGCTAGAGCTGCCCCTGTCAACTGTAAGTACTGTTACTGTGAAGTGGAAAGTCTAGGAGCAACAAAGTACTTTTTGCTCCATACATTTTCCCTGACACCCAAAAGTACTCATTACATTTCGAATGCTTAGCACGACAGGAAAATTGTCTAATTCACACACTTATCAAGAGAACATCCCTGGTCATCCCTACTGCCTCTGATCTGGCTGACTCTCTAAGCACATACTTCATTTGTAAATGATGTCTGAGTGTTGGAGCATGCCCCTGGCTATCTGTAAATTAAAAAAACAAGAAAATGATGCCGTCTGATTTGCTTTATATAAGGAATTTAAAATGATTTATACTTTTACTTTTGATACTGAAGTATATTTTAGCAATTACATTTACTTTTTATACTTAAGTATATTTAAAACCAAATACTTTTATACTTTTACTCAAGTAGTATTTTACTGGGTGACTTTCACTTTTACTTGTGTCATTTTCTATTAAGGTATCTTTACTTTTACTCAAGTATGAACATTTGGTACTTTTTCCACCACTGAGTACAAGAACTGTTCGTCAAGAGCTTCATGAAATGGGTTTTCATAGCCGAGCAGCCGCACACAAGCCTAAGATCACCATGTGCAATGCCAAGCATCGGCTGGAGTGGTGGAAAGCTCATTGGACTCTGGAGCAGTGGAAACGCGTTCTCTGGAGTGATGAATCACGATTCACCATCTGGCAGTCCGACGGACAAATCTGGGTTTGGCGGATGCCAGGAGAACGCTACCTGCCCCAATGCATAGTGCCAACTGTAAAGTTTGGTGGAGGAGGACTAATGGTCTGGGGCTGTTTTTCATGGTTCGGGCTAGGCCCCTTAGTTTCAGTGAAGGGAAATCTTAACGCTACAGCATACAATGACATTCTAGATGATTCTGTGCTTCCAACTTTGTGGCAACAGTTTGGGGAAGGCCCTTTCCTGTTTCAGCATGGCAATGCCCCCGTGCACAAAGCGAGGTCCATACAGAAATGGTTTGACTAGATCGGTGTGGAAGAACTTGACTGACCTGCACAGAGCCCTGACCTCAACCCCATCGAACACCTTTGGGATGAATTGGAACGCCGACTGCGAGCAAGGCCTAATCGCCCAACATCAGTGCCCAACCTCACTAATGCTCCTGTCCCCGCAGCAATGTTCCAACATCTAGTGGAAAGCCTTCCCAGAAGAGTGGAGGCTGTTATAGCAGCAAAGGGGGGACCAACTCTATATTAATGCCCATGATTTTGGAATGAGAAGTTCGACAAGCAGGTGTCCACATACTTTTGGTAATGTAGTGTATGTCCAATATGAAAAACGGATTGGATTTAGGCTGATAGGCCACTCTTTAAGGGCCGCAGAATGAGCAGTGACGTTCCTCTGGGTGTAAACTCTGTGGATTTGGAAAGAACGGACCCCGCTTTTACTGCGACTCAATGTAGGCTACAGGAAATTGTGTTACACTGCAATACAGTTCCTTCAGAAAGTATTCACACCCCATGACTTTTTCCACATTTTGTTGTGTTACAGCCTGAATTTAAAATGGATTAAACTGAGAGATTGTGTGTCATTGGCCTACACACAATTTCCCATAATGTCAAAGTGTAATTATGTTTTGAGACTTTTTTGGTTGCACTAATTGTCTACATAACCTGGTTCAAGCAATCATGACATTACCCTGAAGAAAGCATAGTGATGCCGAAACGTTGGTGGTTTACCCAATAAATTACTGTGAGCTTGTATAGTGTGCGACGCTCTCTATTTATTTGTATAGCCTTTTGAAATTTTTACAAATTAATTACAAATGAAAATATGAAATGTCTTGAGACAATAAGTATTATACCCCTTTGTTATGGCAAGGCTAAATAAGTTCAGGAGTAAAAATGTGATTTTTGAATTTCCAATTTCTGAAGGCTATATATACACAATATTCTGCCCATTTGAAGTAATGTATATACACAATATTTATAGCCATACATGATTTAATGAAAAGCAGTAAACATACACATTGTTTCACATCCTTTAATAACAGACTCATAAACACAATCATGCAATAGGCTACAACTCGCTTCACAGCTTCCCCGGGAAAGTCAATGTATTGTAGCATGCTGACGAAAGAGTAGCAGAGGAAGGAGTTCGCTTCTGCAGCAATGTTCTCAGTAAAATATTACGTGTTACGGTGGTGCTTTGCTCATCTCTGTACCCCACACATTTAGGTTATCTGTAATGTCCCACAGTTGAGCAGTGAATTTCAAACACAGATGCAACCACAAAGACCAGGGAGGTTTTCCAATGCTTCCCAAAGGGCACCTATTGGTAGATGGGTAAAAATAAAATGCTAACATTGAATATCCCTTTGAGCATGGTAAAGTTATTAATTACACTTTGGATGGTGTATCAATACACCCAGTCACTACAAAGATACAGAAATCCTTCCTAACTCAGTTACCAGAGAGGAAGGAAACGCTCAGGGATTCCACCATGAGGCCAATGGTGACTTTAAAACAGTTAGTGTTTAATGGCTGTGATAGGAGAAAACTGAGGATGGAGCAAAAACATTGTAGTTAATTCACAATACTAACCTAATTGTGACGAGGTGTGAATGAAGGAGTCAGGCGCAGGAGGTAAAATACAGAAGTCCAGAGTTTAATCCGTTTGCATAAATCAAACGCCCTAAGCGTCAAACAAAACTAAACAATGGAAAACATCCACCTAGGCAATACCAGTGAAATGTAGCTCAACCGAGCTACACGCTCTCACAACAAACAATCACTCACAAAGACAAGGGGAACACTTATACACATACTAATTAGGGGAATGAGCACCAGGTGTGTGATTGACAAGACATGTGGAGTGATGAGAATGGGATCGGCAGTAGCTAGTACTCCGGTAACGACGAAGCCTGCCCGAACCAGGAGGGGGGGCAGCCTCAGCGGAAGTCGTGATGGTGGAAATCCCTCAACAGGGAGGGATCGAGGATGTCCCGCCTTGGGACCCAGCACCGTTCCTCCGAACCGTAACCCTCCCACGCCACGAGATACTGAAGGCCCCCCACACGACACCTCGAATCCAGGATGGAACAGGCCGAGTAAGCCGGGGCCCCCTCAATGTCAAGAGGAGGTGGAGGAACCTCCCATACCTCAGACTCCTGGAGCGGACCAGCTACCACCGGCCTGAGAGACACATGAAACGAGGGGTTAATACGGTAATAAGGGGGGAGTAACAACCTGTATGTGACGTCGTTTATTCTCCTCAGGACTTGAAACGGCCCCACAAACCGCGGGCTCAGCTTCCGGCAGGGCGGGCAGAGGGGCAGATTCCTGGTCGAGAGCCAGACCCGATCCCCCGGTATGAACACCGGGGCCTCCCTGCAGTGGCGGTCAGCGTTGGCCTTCTGATGACGCACGGCGTGCTGGATGCGAACGTGGGCAGCGTCCCAAGTCTCCTCCGTGCCCCGAAACCAGTCATCCACCGCGGGAGCCTCTGGCTCTGGTGCCACGGTGCCAGAACCGGTTGGTAACCCAAAACACATTGGAAGGGTGTTAGGTTAGTGGAGGAGTGGCGGAGAGAGT